TTTCTTTCCTTTCCGTAAACCGAATCTATGATCAAAGCAGATAAGAAATGGTGAAAGTCCTCAATAATACACAGATACTGTGCAGAGATTATACCCAACTGGGTCACAAGAAGCCTTTGTGGGGGCACTGCTACAAATAAAAGGGCATATTGCAATTTCATGAAGCTTTTGATATTTATCCTAGGCCAAATACTTTTTTTTTCATTTTGCTTTTCACTCATAATGGATATTCATTGTAGGTCAACCACTGACACTAACCATCTAGGATGTGTCATGACCAAAACCTTCACAATAAATTGTCACTTTTTTTGTTTTTTTTATATCAGTATTCAGTTTCACATCAAGTCTGAAAAACCACCACACCGCCAGAACAAATCCAAACCAAGCTGACATCAATGTGCGAGGAAATTTATATGGATGGGGGCAGGCTGCAGTGTTATTAGACTGTTTGTTGTTCTTGTGTCATTTGCAGATAGTCTTGTCATGTGTCAGCCTTGTCACAGTCTCACAGAAAGTATTTAGAAATATTGAGCCCTGAGCGCCTGGCTTGAAATTAGCGTTCTGGATACAAACAGCACTATGTAAGCAGTTCATGCTCTATCTGTAATATTTTAGATTGTCAAATTATATAATAAAAATGGACACTAATGATTGGAAGGAAGTATGAATACCATGTGCTCTGCATGTAACCATGGTTTTCTGAGTGAAATATCTTTCAGTGATATGCATCAGAAGCTGACTTACTGGGTCAGGAGGTTTAGGTGACTGTAGTGCCGCCACCCCGTAAAAAGGGCAGATGCTGGTGTTTGGGCAATGGAAACTTTGAAAGGGATGTTTCAAAGAAAGCAGGTCAGCAGGGCGGCGTAAGTGCTCAAAAAATTGGATTTTATTAACAAAAATATTACCAAACGAAATTCAACCAAAAAATTACTGAAGTCATAATGTCAAAGAAATAAAATCTGCAGACTCACAGCAAGATGCTACCTGCTCTGTCTCTCATTATTGACTCCTGACTGGCATCTTATCTCCTCCTTTTCACCTCACTGGAGCCTACCACCAGCTTAGGTAGGTACGGGGGTGAGCTAATCTTACGCATGCCTATCCAAGCATATCAAACCCCACGCGACCACTACATATTAACTTCTGTTACCGCAGACAATTCCCACTCTACAATAAGCACCAGATATTATTTATAAGTGCACAAGTTTCACCCCACTGTTATCTACTGCAGAACAGTTCTACCCATCTTCTCACATACTCATGCCCAGTCCCTCACTACTACTAAGAGGACTTAATGACACACACCTGTTTCCCCTTTCCCTGATTAAGCTGCTGATCAACCCCACTAACCCAGACAAACAACTGGAAATATACAAAGTGGGCTGACCCTTCCAACATATCAAACCTGCAATCAAAGATCAACCACATCTCACGACCAATGTATTGAATAACTGAACCTGAAAAATGAATAGAAACATCCAACTTAAATACTAATTAAATAACAATGATGATGACAAACCAATGATAATGTGGGGGATCAGGGCCTAGTGAAAAGGGAATGGAGCAGCCCTTTCACAGTGACACATAATTACTACAAACCACCTGTGAGTTGGCAGTGTACCTGTGAAGCTCTCATAGTCTCAGAGTGGCCTCGAGCGGAAGAAATAGTCTCCTCACTCGGAGAACAGTGGTTATACGCTAGACCCAAAGTTCTCCACCAAGCCAAGAGAAACCTGAAGCATCTTGTCAGCGTGCCAGGATACGCAAACTGTGCTATTTGCCGGCATAGACACATGTCATCTCTCCAGATACGCAGCGGCTGTATCACCTTCGCCCTGACTACAGGCATCAGTTGAATTGTGTCAAATGACGCGACACTGGGTGACACCACCAGTGTATGTTACAATAAAGTACTTTTAAACCCAGTTATATATTACTTATGTACGGGGTGTCAGTACTCTGCCAGGAGTGCTGCCTCCCAACAGTTTAAGCTGTCAGGCTCAGCTTCGAAATGAGATGATGATTCAAAGAAGAAAAAAAAAAACTTGTGTGAACGCTTAAGAGGACAGCCTATAGCAAAAAGTTTACCTATCTTCATTACATACACACCACAAAAAGTACCACTAGTTAAAGCAAATGTGTGAGAGGCTACCAAGGTCTTGCCAGTCTCAAAAGACACTGCTCAGTTTTGCCCCCAAGGAGGCAAAACTGACTGGAAAAGACAGGACGTCATCCTTCATCTGGGATTTACCTCAGTCCACCCAGAGAATGATTAAGAATGGCTATTGCTGGGCAACACTAAGCACCTGCTCCCCAAAGGAGGTGCCAACCGCTACAGTACATTAAACAGGTAGAACTGTGTAAATGTAGAAGGAACAGACCAAGTGGAAGAGGCACATATGTCAGCTATAATGGACCTACACCACAATGGCCATGATGCCAAGGATAGAAATAACTGATTGTAGAGGCTTAGACCTATATATCCACAGTCTAGTGGAATGGACTGGACAGTGATAGGCCCTGACACTTGGATGTGGTTGCAGGACCACACCTTACACCTTTAGGCGTCAGCTGCCTCAGTTTTGGAAGAAGCCCGCAATATCACCATGGCAAACAGTCCAAAATCCCAGTCCAACTTGCACTGTGTCTTTATTAATTAATAAGTTGTTCTCCCATTTTCCTTGCCTGGGGTCTTCTTTGGACAGGTGAATAGACTCCAAATGCCTAAAATTTAAGTATTTTATTTTATTTTTCATTTTTTACCTTTATCTTCTGGTTTGGAATGGCCACTTCCCTCAGACACTGCTGCTTCTATATAACCGCCACTCTTGGACATACCCTTAGTGTGGACAAATCAACTAGCTTCATTCACGAGTTTTAGTGCAAAGATATTATCCCTCAGCAGCTTGGCATCCATAAATACTGCCAATTGTATGCAAACAAGGAGCACCCAAACCTGTATGTCAGTATGTTACCTTCACTGACTTTTGTATGCGACTACCATATATGATCTTTAAAAAAACAACAACAAAAAGAAACATGCAGGCAAACAACCTGAATTTTGTAATCTGATATCTGCTGTTTGTATCTCCCTTTCTAATATCTTACTGTTGTGGCACCAAGGTGTGAATTAATTCAGCAAACATTGATTCCGACGAAACTTCTCTGAGCAGGTATTTAACCTGAGCAGTCTATTACACACACACACACACACACACACACACACACACACACACACACACACACACAGAAAGAGNACACACACACACACACACACACACAAACAGACAAACACACAAACACACGCACAAACACACACACACACACACACACACACACACACACATCAACCTACTCTCAACCTGCACAAGTGCTTTTATGTTGTGTATAGCTACTTCACAGTTTGTCTGAAAGTAATTATTCTCATCACCTGACTCTTGTAGGTCAGTCCTCCGTATACATAATATTTCAATATTATTCTGGAAACGTTTGCCGTCCTATACACCCAGACACTCAAAAGCTGTTTTGACAGGTTTACAGAGAGAAAGGCAGAATTTCATCAGAGAATGAAACAGAAATACAGAAAACGCATGTAGCAATATGTCTGTTGGCATTTGTGCAGAACGTAATCTCCCCAAATAACCAGGAATGCATATTTGAAGTGAAAACACTGCTGGGTTTAACTCTGTGTTTGCATTTAATTTTGATGTAATAAGTGATAACACTCAAGAGGCGGAAAACCGCAAAGCTATGTCAGTAATTTATTTGTTGGCAAACAACTTTCACTGTTACAACAAATATTAGTTATGAGATCATTCAACTTGGAACCCATACAAAAAGAATAAATAATTAGCAATAATATTGTAATAATAATCATGATCATAATAATTTAAAAAAAGGAACAAAAAACAAACCCAGTGCCACTTTATTTACTCCTGCCTAAAGCCAGCTTTCTTTCCTCCAAGCTTGTTTTGCTGTCTTTAAACCAATAAACAGATAAATAAATAATTTCTCTCTTGGGGACATGGAGGGGGCTTGTGGGATACATGTGCAAGCTAGACTTCATACACTTATGAAATTTTCCTCCTAAATAAGTAAACATTGGCTTTCCACACTGGACAGTGCTGCTGTGTGCAGAGTTTTCACATATTCAGTACACATATATGGTGTAATCATGGCATTTTCACAGGTGAGACCCACCCTTTTTCAAATAGTGGAAATAGTGGAAATTTAGAGAATGACATTTATTATTCTCAGCATTCTTTTTCTGTACAGTAGGATCTCAACTGGCACAGCAAGGTAATGTCAATTGGGAGAATTTGGCAATAGACAGAATATGCTTCATAAACCATTCTTGTGTTACTCCAAATATCTAATTTTTTATTTTTTTTTTCCTACCCAGGCTCCTCGTTGCGCCTCAAGGAAGGAAATGCTTTATTCAAGAACAAATGAGATGAGACCCACTTCCAGCAAGGACTAAAACGTAGCATTTCCATAGAAACCGTCTCCTTCATAACTTAACCACTTAATTTTCCCTTTAGTTTTAAATCTACACAGTGGTAAAGTATATAGTAACAGTTGATTTGCAAAACGTAAGTGACAGTGGTGTTGCTATAAAGGGACCAGAATGAAGTGTGCATAGGGTATATGCGTATTAATTAAGGAGTGCGTAACTGTCTCTGTATGTATGAAAGAGTGACATGAAAGATTGTTCCTTGCTCATTCTGTAGTCTACACGTGACTAGCACATATCATGACGGTTCAGAACAGTTCCACAGACAAAAGGTTTGCAACGTAAAATCAAAAAATAAAAGACTTGGTCATATGCAACATTTGTATCTGTATCTGTATTCTGTACAATACATAGAAACAGTTTGTGATTTCTTCATAATTCTTTGATAACTGAAAACTTTTACAGAAGAAAGGAGAAGAAACGGAACCCATTCTTTTTTCTTTTTTCTTTTTTTTTTTAATTCAGTCTGTTGTAATATGATCTTCCTTCTTTGTTTTCAGTGAAGTACACAGTAGCCGCAGTCACTACAACTTGCAGGAATGTTACACCAGCCCGGACACAAACTCCAGTTTAGCAGATACGAACAGGAAGAGAATTCAGAACATCGGCGTGATATGGTTACAGTTCGGTTGTCCAGTAAAATAGTTTTTCGGGATGATCATTAGTGAGGGCATATATCATACATCCTCCACTTGATTGGCAGGTAGTGGGGCGGGGCCTCTTTGGGGCCAGTTTATGTCATGAACACCAGAGTTGAATATCCTGCTCTACCCTTCAGAGAGGTTGAAGCATCATCCCAGTACGTGTCTTTTAGAGTGAGACAGAGAGACAGACATACAGACAAACAGACAGGCAGCTCCTTTAACCAGAGCTGGGGGCCACGCCCCTGTAGTGGTGGTAGTGGACTATATGCTATAATCTGCTAGAGGTCCATATTGGGGAACTCGTAGGGCTACGGTCAATCCAAGATTCCAAATTAAAGTAACAGGTATGGTAAAATTACAGAATCCCTCCTCCTTCCTTTCCTTTCCAGGTTAGAAGTTCCATTTCTGTTTCATGTTCACAAAAGGTCTCTCAGAACCGCCCACTCAGTCTGCACCATTTATGACAATACATTCAGTCCCTGCTTCCATTTGACCAGCGATATCTCGACCATATTGTCATGAACCATAGTTAATGTCACACACAGTACATCAATCCAGGGGCGGGCCAGCTCGGTCTGTCAGTCAGTCAGTCAACAACACAGAATGTTTTCATTGGAAGGTTGGAAATGTGAGAGTGGGCTGGGGAGGGACAGAAGTCTCTTGATTGGCTCTATAGACTGGTAACCAGGTGGGAAGGGTCTATGGGCGGCTCCTCGGGCGACGAATCAGACTCCTCCTTGCTCCCAGACACCATGTATCCATCGCTGCCACCACGGCCCATGTGGTAGTAGCTCTGTAGCTCGTGAAGGTGATTCCTGGAGCCCAAGTTTGGCATGCTCTTATAATAGACATCATCCAGCTCTGGAGCAGTGGCACTCTTACAGGGCTGCAGCTCCCCTGAGCTATCTTCCTCTCCGTCTGTTAAACCGTTCATCTGCCCATCCGGGAGGTCCGTCAGCACTGGCATGCTGGTGTAGAGTGAGTCTCTGTGGTTGGGTGAATGCGTGTGCTCATCAGTGTGCTCGTTGGTCAGCAGGGGGAAGAAGCTTTCGCTGGTCTCCTGGGGAATGCGCCGCGGCCGTGAGAAGCTGTGGGGAGGAGGCGGCGGTGGCGGGTGGCTGTCTGGTGGAGGGGGCCGTGGCGGCAGGAGTGGAGCGTTGGACTCCTCTCTGATAATCTCCAAACCCAGGTTCTCCTCATGGGGGAAGGCCACAGGGTTGTCCAGCACCATTGGACCATTGTCCTCTTTACTGCCTCCCACACACCCACCAACTCCACTGCTGCTGCTGCTGCTGCTGCCTCCTGCCATGCTCCCTGAAAGAACCAAGCAGGAGTAACTGTTATAGCATACTGCTGCTGTTGTTAATTTTAGCGCTCCAAAGTGGTGACGCCAGTGTTAACTGGTCAAAAATGTTATTTGACTTTTTAAAGCTGCTTTAATCAACATTTTTATATTAACAGTGGATCAAATTACAATGTGTAATTAGAAAGGGGTTGCTCATATTATCACCTGACTCATTTACCTGCATCTCCCCTCACCTTTACAAAGGGTTGTCAGACTCTTTGATCTAACTGTTTTGTTTTTCCGGTGCGCAACTTTAATGTTTTTCAATCAGCTCGCGGCTCTCATCTGTGCAGTTTTCTGTCACAGCAGGCAGCTGTTCTCAGTGAAATAGCTCTAAAAACCCACTATACACCGCCTGCCCAGCATCAAATGGCACTGAACATACAGTAGTGGAGCATTTAGTAGTTTAAGGGCCACATATTTTTCTCAGGAGCAGCTTGAGACGAAAAAAAAAAAAAAAAAGAATAAAAAAAACTGCTAAAAGCAGAGTGAGTATTGGACTTACATTCATCAGGGGGCCAGAAATGCAGCTGTCGCTAACAATCTGCTGGATGCATAATTGGGCAACTGTACACTAGCATGTTTGCCATATCAACTTAGAAGGTGATAATATGTCAGTGTTGTGTTCTCAGCTTGGTTCAGCTGGTCCCAAGTGGCCAAAAGAATTGCTCACTGCCTGTTTAACACGTTTATTTGTTTACTACACACGTATACGTCTGTCAACAGTATAAATGCTGTGAGCAAAGCACATTTACAAAAAAAAAACAGTAATGCTGTTTTTGGGGTTAGATGCCCTCTCCTCTCCTTGATTTGGAAAATTGACTGCCGTGACAAATATGACTCCGCCCCTAGATCTTGAGACAAGAAAAGCGTTTACGCACCCAACCTGTGGAAGCCAGGATCAGCGCTCTGAGGGCAGTGTTTAATTACACAAGAATTCCTAGTTATGTTCATTTGAAGCAGTGTCCCTGTCTCAACGCCTGAAATGATTTAAACCAAACCAGTCACCTCCATTGGCCATGCTGCTGTTGACCAGCTTGTTCATCAGGTTGTGATTGCGCTCCGTAGTGGCTCTCTCATGGTTGTTGAGGTAGGACGGGATGTAGTTGGAAGTCAGCTCCTTGAGAATCTTCTTCTCCAGGGTCGTCTCTTTGTGGTTGCTGTGGGTGCCGTAGCCACCACTACGGTCTAGAATCTGGACGCAGTCACTCAAGTACTCACTGCTGGCCATGCTGTAGTTGTTGGCATGGTTACCATTAAGAGGGAGCGTATCCATAACACTGGAGTCTCTTGCGTTGTTCAGGATGCCCTCTGAGGAGCAAATAATTAAAAAAAGTAATAATTATTAGGATCCTTAAATAAACTAAGTGGATTTCTCAGAAGAAAGATTTTAATTATTGTTTGATATCATAGTGTGTGCTGTGAATTGAGGATTAAAAAGTAGCAATGATAATTTTCTTGGAAAGAGAAATGCTTCAAGCGTCCATAATTCATTTAAGTGAAACCTCAGAAGTACTTTCTTTTCTCAATTACTGCCAGCACCACAGCAATACAAAAAGTAGAGTTGGACTTCACTACAAAAATAAATGTTTTGAAGTGACACTTAAAGTAATTACATTTCAAGTCATTTTAAGAGCAAATATAACTCAAATTTCAATTTGCACATTTTATTCACACCATTTGAATTCAATGAGATTCAATGCTAATGCTGTTTTTTTTTAACTATATATATATATTGCTTCAGAGCAAAACTTTTAAAAAGCATTCCATAGAAGATGGATCTAAAAATAAGTCTTTTACGTGGACTGACTCATAATTTGGGAGAGAAAAAGAAAGCTTTAGCATGTCTGACAGCCAAACAAAACCACTGTTTTGCTGTAGATTGGACTGAAAATGTTAGGCAGAACGCTTTGGAAGCAAGAAAAGAGAGAAGAAAGTCGATGTTATTGAAGTAGTTGAGTATTAATTTAGCCCATACTTGTGTCTCGGTAAGGTGCTAATGGACAGCATGAGGGAGAAGAGAGAAAAGAGACACAGATGTGAGTTTTTGTATCGAGAGAAACAAATTTCAGCAGCTTCAAAATCAACAGTTGCACAGTAATTGGAGGCGTGATGAAAGCTGTTTAACAAAGAAACCCTGTCTGATTCTTAAAATCAAAGTCTGCTTTTCAGGGCCTTATTGTTAGCTGGCTGCTATCATGTGGTTCATTATTTATGTAACACAGAGAAAACATTAAAAAAAAAAACACCTCACAAATTACATTTAAAACATGGTATATCTACAGTAGGCATGCAGCACAACAAGCAATACACACAAGTCCCAACTGACACATACAAACTGGCATTCAAAACAAAGCATTGTGTGAAATGTACTGTATAAAATAGAACATTCACAAAAAAAAATAGTACAAATATTTCATGGCTCCCAAGTAGCTTCTAAAAGATATGGTGAATTTGTAATCAGTTATGTATGTATAGTTTGCATCTATAGAGCACAATAAATCAGCATGTGATCTTGTTATATTGTTTTGATATTTCATGAACCGAATTGCATCTGTACATTTATGTGCTGTGAGAACTGCCCAGTGGGTGTCCTTTGTGAAAGATTATTGCAGTGTGATTGATTGTCTCACTTGGGAGCCATACTAAGGCTAGATCAGATATGCAGCCAAAAGTGTATTACAGTGGCAAACATTTTAAAATGAAATAACCATGCAAAATAAATGCAATGTGCTGAAAAATAACTCTAAGCTAACTTTCCAAATGTTGTATGTTTATAAAAGGAACATCAGGCACACCTTGGGTGTTGTACATGCCCACGGCTGGGTTATTATAGACTGCCGAGTCCCCCAGGAGAGTGTTATAAGGATTGTTAGTACCATGGGGACGAAGGAGAGCATTAGTTATAAGATGATTAGCCATGGCTCCTGGTACAGGCAGATAGAGAAAGAGAGAAGAAGAGCAACAGCCAAGTCGAGAGAGGAAGAGAGAGGAAAAGCAACAGCCAAGTCAAGAGAGAAAGAGAGAGAGAGAGAGAGGCACTCAAGAAAAAAAAAAGGCAGAGATAGAGGTTGAGGGAGAGAGCATGTAGACGTCGCAGAGTGGAAGTAAGCAAGAAGGAAGAAGAGGAAGGGAGAGTGAGATGGAAAGTGAGTGTGTGGAAGAAAGAGGGAGAGAAGAGGACAAGTAAATCAAACAAGCAAACATAGTTTGAGGTGAAAGGCAAGAAAAAGCTTGACAAGTCATTCTTGCAGCCACTGCATACAGGTCGAGGGAGGGGATAAGAAAGAGAGAGAGAGAGAGAGCGAGAGAGAGAGGGAGACAGACAGACAGAGAGAGAGAGAGGAAGGAGAAAGTAGCATAGCTTGGAGAAGATTGTGCTGCAGTTCAATACGCTTGAGCAGAGAAGCATGACTACAGGATAGTTAATGGACAAAGGGACCACAAAAAAAGTGTTGTCAGTGCATTTTCTTCCCTAGGTGGGAGACAGATCATGTACACATTAAGACACTGCGGAAAAACAGAAGACGAATGACCGTGACAGCTCCTGTACATTCCTCCTCATCCTCTCATCATCACGCTATACCTCTACCACTACTCCTAAGTGTGGATATATGTCATATAGCTTCAAAACATAGGTTAGAGGGAGGGGGAGACACTGAAACATCTCTGTGGTAACACTTTTTTTTTTTTTTCCTTCAGCAAAGAGAAAATACCACAACATTTTAGTTGTCTAATTCCTGTGTTTGAGGACACCACAGTTCAGTTCATATTAGTAAAACTTCATTGCCATTTCCCTATCAGAGCAGAGAAGCTGGCAAGCAGCCTGGACTTGGCTGACAAAATAGAGCTCTAGGTAGAATAAATTAGAAATAATGAAGAAAGTGGAACGTGGCAGAATACTGAATGAATTTTGGGCATCAACTCTTGGTTGAAAAAAAAATCTAGCTACCGGATATTTATCTATAGTGGACAATGCACATTAATTAATATGATATGCACCCTTAGTCCCAACACAGCTAAAAAGAGACATAATGTCTTAAAATAAACATATTCCTTCTCCATTTTATTCTGTCCTAATTTCAACAAGTCACCCCCCTATCAGAATATCCAGTTTATTCCACTCCATCCTTATTCACTAAGCCACAGTATGTAGTCATTTGAAATCTACTGGCTAAGTAGCTCTCTGCACCGTACTTTAAAGTGTGAGGGAAGGAGGAGGTAGGGGTGTCTTAAGCCCTGCCTCACTAAGTGTGTGATAATTCAGGCGCTGACACACACCGTGTCTGCTTTAGCATCAATCTGTCATGCTAACAGCTTATTAGTGGCCTGAAGGAAGCGAGGGCCACACCTCGACTTAGAGACTAACAAATGGCAGTATATATGTGTGTGTGTGTGTGTGTGTGTGTGTGTGTGTGTGTGTGTGTGCGCACGCTCCAGAGTGTGTGTGTGTGTCAAAATGTCTAGCCATTTGGGTGTCTATGTCCTCATTACCCTAGCCCTGAGACAGCCATACTCATGGATTCCATTCTTACAGTCCATTACTGTGGCTTACTCTGGAGGGACAGCAATAGAAAGCTCAGAATACAGCGAAAATACAGTGAGCTAAGCCTAATAGTCATTTTAAAACTGGGTAACTACAGCAGCCTTCATATAATAAGATAAGCTCGGCTGAACACAGATTCTCAGGTGGAAAACACTGCAAAACTGTGCTCCGCTACAATAAAACCATACATTCCTTGTAATGTGCTGAAAACGGACGCACGGTAGGTTCTTAGCACTAGTACCTTCACCTGATGTGACACACTATTGCATTCAGCTAATAACAAAGAATTAATCGAATGCAACTCTGCATAAGTTGGAGTATAATAATAAAGGTTACTGTTATTCAGCTCAAGAGTTGAACACAACTTCAAGGATTTCTCACCCACAATGCTTTAAAAGGGGACTATCCTTGGAAAAAGAAGTATAGAAGCTCTCTGCAGCACAGTCAACTCTGCACTGTGTAGATTTATAATGGGACCACAAACTGGTTGATGTTTCCGTTTTGACAACAGTCGGCTCCAAACTTGCTTTCCTGTAAAGTCATCCTTTGAAGCAGCAAAAAAGTATTAAGTGATATTTACACTCCATTCTGCTAATCTTCCTCTCTACACGAACACAGTACCATTATTAGAAGTTTGGACTCCTACCACTTTACTAAATGACAGCGTATGCTGGCTGAACCTCCCGCTATTAATAAAGTAGATATGGTGACAGTGATGAGGATGCAAATGGTAGGTATCCCGTGGTTACCTCTGTTGAGCGTGGCGGAGCTGTTGATGTCTCCAGTGATGAAGGAGGACTCCTGTTTCCTCACAGTGTCATTCCACATCCGCCTGATACGACTCTATACACAGAGGAAAAGAAGCGAGAGAGAAATAGACAGGGAGGGAGAAAGAGGTAGAGAAGGCATGGGCAAAGACAAAGAGGAGCGGCGATGATGAAGGGAGGGAGGAATAAAGGATAAGGGAAAAGAGAGGGAGGAACGACAACGAGAGAGCACCGTGGGGAGGAAAGACGTGATGACAAAAAAGGGGGGAGGGGGGGAAATATGGTAAGAAACATAATATACGAGAGTATGGTGTGCAAACAAAGGGCAAATTAGTGCAGGAGAGGCAGTAAAGGAAAAAGTAAAGCAACAACCAGCAAGAGAGAAACAGGTGGGGGGGAAATAATCACCCATCAATTCCATTTAAGCTCAATCTACCTGTGTTCAGCATCAATATGTGAAGGTGTTAGTCAGGGTTTGGGTTATCTCACTTTCAACACAAAATCCACATCTTAAGACTGCAAACACAAAGTCCGTGTTTAACTGTTTTGTTTTTTCATGGTTCGCTTCTGCCTACAGTAAAACTAGTTGAAAGTGAACAGCGATAACCCAAAACCCTCATGGCGTGCTCTGGCCTCACCTGAGAGTCTGCTGTGCTGTAGCGTCCAGGTGTGCAGGCAGGTAAGCTCACCTGTGAGCCTGTGGAGTAGCGGCCTGGAGTCCGTGAGGTGGTGGTCTTACTCGAGGAGGAGATGGAGGTCTCCACGCTCTTGCCGCTGCAGCAGTGAGTGCGCAGACATTTGCCGTACTCTTTGCGCACCTGGGCAGGGGAGGTGAAAAGGACACATGAAGAAGAAGGAGGAGGAGGAGGAGGAGGAGGAGGAGGAGGAGGCACTGACTGATGTTCCACTTTGACCTTGCACATGTTGAAGCATATTTTTAAGATGACATACCAGGCAAACAAAAAAAAAAAAAAAAAAAAGACTGGAAGGGCTTAACTTGATATAGTGTCCCCGTTAAATTCTTTTCCTACTCAAATTCTTTGTGCAAACACTAACCCCATAAAAAACGTAGACATTAAAGGATTAACTTCATAAACTTCAACATCAACATCCGATCCCAAATGTTATTACTGCCGCACATCCATCCTGAAATGGACATATTCCTTAGGGGGACATATGATGCACTTGCACACACACAAAACATCTGCATTTAGATCCCAATCAAATTAGAACAAATACGACTGTAATTGCTTTTTAACAAGCTTGTTGGACTGGCAGACGTGTATTGTCACATGCTCTGTTTGAACAGCTGTGTGTTGAGTTGCTCCATGCATCTTGAGAGAAACCATGTTGGGCCACAGCCAAAGACAACCTCAGCACTGTTCTGAGGACATCTCTCAGGATACCTGATCCCACGGCCTAACACATACCTAAGTACTGTGCATGCTGACTTCTACACACACACATACACACACACACACACACTGCACTTGTTTACTGGTTGTACACTTAAAACTAAAAACTCTCTGTGGGACTGCAGCCAGACGAGAGTATTAAGCATTTGATGAATTTTCTTTCCATATCCTGCTCCTCTTGTGTTCTCCAAGGCACTGACAGTGTGTGGGAGACTCTGTAAAAATATCCCAGGATATGTAGGCTCTTCCTGGAAGCCACATATAATTCAAATTTAAAAAGTGGTAGGTATGTACTCACAAATGCCTCTAATCATTTAGGCCAAATAAACCCAAACCGCACACATGTATATGTATGAAGAAGGTCATCTTTTAAAAAATGAAAAGGGGGGCTGTGTGTCCATGTGAGCAAGGTTGATCTATTTAATTGCATAAATCATCAGAGTATTGTATCTGTAACCACTGCTTCTTAGACATGGAAGCAGGCATTTCTTTCCTCTGCATGTGTCCAAAATCTAAAACAACTGGAGCTAAATGTTATCAAAGTTTTGAAAATGCTATTTCGGGCTTGATGACCTCCCCCTGATGAAAAACGTTCTTTTCTGTTGGGTGAAGACGAGCAGCTCAGTTTGTTACCTGCTGTCACACAGTGAAAAGTGAGAGAGAGAGAGAGAGAGTGAGGCGGTGAGAGTGAAAATATGAGAATTGAGCCGCCAGTAGGGATACTGAATGACCAATCAAACCTGTGACAGCTCTGCAAATATTTTTGGTGTCCCCGCTGATCAATGTGCTAGCATGTGTGTGTGTGTGTGTGTGTGTGTGTGTGTGTGTGTTTGTATTTGTCTGCCTGTCACACCGTCTATCTATTTCTGTCCAGGTTTGTCTCTGCGTGACTCCCTCACCTTCTTCTGCAGTATGCAGTGGAAGATGAAGATGAACATGCCCTGCAGGGAGTTGAAGATGGTGAAAAGGTAGGCCATGATCACGGTGCTTTCGTTGATGTACATTAGTCCAAAAGCCCAGGTCAGGCCCAGCAGACACAGCAGAGCTATGGCCCCAATCACCCAAGACCTGCGGGAGAAGGAAGGGAGACAACATCGCTGTTTGCTACGTCCCACAATATGCACAGTTTATTTTGCAGGTGACATTGTAAGTAGGATAGTACGAGAGGCTTGTCTCTTTCCCCGGATCAGAGAAGCTATTCAGCCAAGTTTGATGCATGTGGGACTATGAGGCCGGAGGAAGGGGTTAGGGAGGGTTCATTCAGAGCCCAAACACTGTGGGAGTGGGATGAGGGTAACAGTGGGAGGTTTTGCCTAAAAGAATTATACTCTTATGAAAAGGGTGAGAGAAAAGAGAGAAAGTGGATTTGCTCATCTAGATACCATCTCGAGAGAGGAAGGGGAGGTTATAAACTAGCTGACGTCAGCCACTAGAATTGAGAAAGTCAAGCACGTAAGACTTTTTTTTTTTTCCAAGACACATCCCAACTCTGTTATTCAAAGTACATGGAAGAGGGTGAAAAACATTTTCACAGGCAGAAGTGGGTCCTGAAGTCTGTTACTGCAATTGTGATGATAACATTATAATGGAATTAAATTTCATAAAAGTTTTCAAGGCTGTGGAACTACATTTCAAATAAAGCCTTTGCAGAAATGAGTCATAAAGGCCAAATGTCAGAGTTTTGGTCATGTCGAGGCATGTGTATGGATCGCAAGTCCCTGCTCGAGTGTGTGCATGTGAGTGTGTGGAGTGTGTGTGTGGCCACGTGAGTGGCTCTACTGGGCAGTAAGTAGACGGACATTACAGCCATTATAAATGACATTTCTCAGTAAAGGTCACAGTTTCGGGTCTGCCACAGCTGCGATGATGGCTGTTAATTTGATTGGCTGACTGGATAGTGATCACCTCTCGTGTGAGGGATGGAGGAAAGGAAGGCAAGAAAAGCGGGCGAGGGGGGTGGGAGGTGGGTGGGGGGGCAGAAGGGGAGATATTAGTAGAGGCAGGAGGAAGGAAGAGAGAAAGAAGAGGAGAGTAAGTGAGTGAGACTGAGGTGATTGATTCGATGTTGCCCTCTGTGGCACCATTCAGGCGAGACAGAACCTCCAATAAAGCTCGTCTGACGACCCACTTCAATAAAGGGTACACTCATCCCTCTCTTTTCCATCCCTCCATTTCACCTCTCCCTCCAGTGCTCCCTTGAGTCATGGTTTCTCTCTCAGCTCTGTGCGCCCTCATTCACATCTCACCATTATAATATTTCAATAGCACTTTAGGTCTATAGGTCAAGGGAGCTCACAAATCACACATGAACAAGTAATCCATTTTACAAGGCAGGTTAATGGTTAATTTAGGGATATGCAAAGACTCTAAGCAGGTTCTACAGACAAATACGATGACAAGCAAACCAATCAAAATGTCTCTAGAAAGACGAGAGGCTTCTGATTGGAGAGAGGCCTTACCAGAGCCAATCCACAACAAAGACAACATATGATGGCTTGGAGTTAAAGAGACAAAAGAAAGCAAAAGGAAGAAAAAAAAATGATAAGACAAAAAAGGCATGATGATGATTAACGAGTAAATGAACCAAAATAAGACATGACTAATGAAGTGAAACAGATCAAAATCTATTCAGCCTTCAGTGTGCTCAGAAAGACTAAGGAACCTTGTTAAAAAATAATAGAAAAAAAAAGATACAAAAGCATTGTATTCCAAATGGATCTTTAATTTTATCTTTCATCTGGCTTTTTGATTACATTCCCCTGAACTGCACCGAAGCAAAGCTTGGCTGGTTGTCTTTATGTCTGAAACGCCTCCCACTTGAAGTCCTACTTAAAACTGCTGTCATGAAAGATACATTGGCAGTAATATTTAAATGATAAATCAAACGAGTAAGCCATTCGGTGATTTACATTATAAATTCTGAGCTGTGCCTCAGTAAGGCGTTGAGCTCTGAGCCACGGCATATTGTTTGAATTAGACTCAGCCTTTTGTCTTGAGCTGCACTGGAACGAGAAATAACACAATCCTGATTAGTTAGCTTAGTGGACAGAGTTTCTGTGGTCTGTGGGAATGAAGTCATATTTCAGTGACATTCTCTGAGGGTGATATAAGTAACAGTGACATGATGAATTCCATGAGTAGTGTCTTGAAATAATGTCAGACAAAGGTGAAATGCGCTTCATGCAAGATGCTAATGTGCAAAAAAAAAAAAAAAAAAGGCTGATAGACATTAAATTTAAAATGGATAGTTTGACATTTTGGGAAATACACTTATTAGCTTTCTTGCCAGGAGTTGGATGAGAAGATCAATACCACTCCCGTGTCTTACAGTAAATATTAAGCTGGAGCCAGCAGCATTTGAGCTTAGCTTAGCATAACGACTGGAAACGCCTAGCCTGGCTCTGTTTAAAGGTAACAAAATCTAGAGCTCATTATTAAAACATCTTACCTCAATTGTTTGATCCGTACAAAAGCAGAAATTCACCATTTTACAGAAAGTTGTGTGCAGGACCATGTCTTGCTCATTACCCCTCACAAAACCATATCTTATTTTGTTTTACATTTTGGTTTATGTGCGGATTAAACAACATATAACATATTAAATTGTAAGCTTTAGATGTGCCGGTATGCAGATTTTGTTACTTTTGGACAAAGCTAGGCCAGACTTTCCCCCATTTCCAATCTTTATGCTAAGCTAATCGACTGTTGGCTGCAGCTATATACTATATTTGCCGTGCAGACATGAGAGTGGTATCAAACTATTCATCTTGACAAAAAAAAGAAAAAGAAAAAGGAAATAAGTATATCTTCCAGAATGTCAAACTAGGCAAACAGGCATGTATAATCACATCCACTGTCAAAATAAGAAGCACTGGTGTGGTGGCAGAATGGTATGCACACATGCACTTACTTGATGTTGTCCAGACATCCAGAGTCTGGTTTGAGAATGGCTGTGTGATGGAACATCTTATAAAGAGCGATACCGAGGAAGATTACATTCAGCTGAAACACACAGACACAAACACGTACAAGTTAATATTCTGCAGCAATGAGCCTAATTAAAGACACAATGTCACCACAACAATTCACTCACACACAGTGCATATCATTTCATTTTCCCTTCCAGCAGTAATTGGCTTGGGGACACAGTATCAGCCCACAATCAACAACCCTTTATGTGCTCAAAATACAGCAGCTTGAGCATCAGGGAAAATACAGCAGTCATTACAACCATCGAGGATCATTGTTATAATAGAAATCCAATTCTCACAGTTGCTGTCTCTTCTACTGCCCTGCCAATGCATAGATAGCGTGGTTTAATAATGACTCATCTGGGCTGTTGTGTTGGGTCTCCAAGGCTGTATATGTTACCAATGGGCATAGAGTCATAACAGAGCAGTCCCACCTGCACTGCTCCCACTTACAGCTCCAGTTAGATCAGTGATAGCCTGGCTGACATTTCTAAAATGAGCACAGAGCATCAGTGTACATGCTGACATTCACCTAATTGGGAACATGTCCCATAGCTTTCATTCTCTCTTTCTCAAACTTAGCTTTATATATATGTATATGTACACATATATACTGTATATATGGTTTGCTTTTTTCTGTTTGTCCGTTCCTGCTCATTAAAAAATCTTGCAAACTCATTGACATTGCTCTATGTACGGACAAGAAAAATGGTCAAATTGAGATCTGTGGAGGTCTGTGATCTTCTTTTCACTGTGTAATAAAAGTAGCTAGACCGAGAGGAAGTACATTGCCTGGATCATCAAATAAGAGAAATATAACTTTGTTGAGTTCTTATCATAATCTGTGTGAAGTACAACAGTCTGTGCTCTATGTCCCTCCAAAGATTTCCAGCTTGTTGGAATATGTGCCCACTTGAGAGTTAATCCATGAGTGGGAATTATTAAACTGACATAAAGTTCCTTCTGCTCGCACTTATACTACGGAGAGCTCAGGGAAACCTTGTAGGAGATTAACAAACACCTTAATGTGGCCTGTCGTTTCTGCACGAACATGTGGCAGCCGGTCTGCTCTGTACATGTAGCACTATGTCAAGTGTGAGTGAGCATGCATGTATGTGTATCTCACCATAATGATGAGCGTGGCAGGGCCTATGAAACTCCAGATGAAGTATGTATCCAATCGCAGCCAGCACCTAGAGAGACACAGCGAGATAAGGAGTGAGGAAGAGGGAGATACAACAGGAGAGAGACATCATGCATGAGAAACAGAGGGAAGAAGAACAGGAGAGAGGAAAGACGCACAGGGATTAAAAACATGCTCCAGTCTCAGATGGATGTAGGGTAGCAAGGATTTACCATCAGAGGACAGGACATGCATCACAGTTAAACACACACACACACACACACACACACACACACACACACACACACACACACACATAGAGAAACAAGGAGGGGGAAAAAAAGCAATACATTACATGTCATACAGTATATCAAATGCATCACGATAGAGGGAGGACAAAAGGAATTGGGGTGGATGAAAAAACGAAAGAGATGGAGAACAGTGAGAAAGGTGTTGCAGGATGGAGGAAAATACACAACAGTATACACACACATCTGAAATATACATCACACACAGAGAGGGAGGCAGCAAGGGATGAGCACCTGTGATAAATAAACCTTTACTTCCCCCTTAGGGCACAGATATATGACACGGCCACATCCTGTGGTCGCAAAAATATGACACGACTGTGTTCATTTGAATACTGAGTTATGGATGCAGCCCTCATACCAGGCTATTTATGGAGTCTGGGAGTGGCTGTGGTGAGGTTAAAGGAGAGAGGAGGGACACACACACACACACACACATGCACACGCACATTTAATATATGCACACAAACATGCACCTACACATTCAGAGAAAGAAGACATGCATGAATACACATAACCACACACACACACACACACACACACACACACACACACACACACACACACACACACACACACACACACACAAAAACACATACACACACAGGCAGTCTGACCACAAGGTTAGCATTGGTAGCAAATGATGTACTGCTGTATGCTAAATTATATTACCCCAAACATCTTCACTCATCAATTGTGGGGTGGGGTGGGGGGTGGGGGGGGGGGGGGTGGGGGGTGGTGCCCTCCACTGAGGTCAAACCCGAAGGGTTGCAGAAAAAGGTGCCAGAAAGAAACCACTGGAGCAAAATGGCCGACTGATTCATGACCAGCTGCTTTTGAATTATTAATCTTTCAATTTCCACCACATTAGAGAGCCCTCCATTATGGGTCCCTGACTGTGTCACAGTATCCTCCATTAGGGCTCCTTTGCTAAGTCATAGCCACCTTCATTATGGGACGTGAAAGAGACTCAGTGCCACTGGCTAATATGGGGGAGAATGGGGTGTGTTATGTGTCAAGGTGACACAGCAGGGATGGCAGATGATATTTGCAGAGGTTTTTGTCTCAATGTGTTATGTCGAACATGATAAGCAGTGCCATTTTCAAGGCTGGACTGATAAATGAGCCACATAACTTAGTATTTGCTTTTAATGAAAGGTACTTTGCTGTGAAAATAGTTGTGTCAGTTTCTTTCAAACCCATGAGGTACAGGGCCATTAAAAGCAGAAACGTTAGTTGTTTGGGTGAAATATTATTTTGAAATACAAGGATATATTCTTTGATGAAATTTATCTTTTACGCCCTCACTGATTTCAGTGCGATTTGTGTGGTAGCCTCTACATTATTCTCCCAAAAAGTATAGCTTCATTTTCCATTTTCACTGTTAAACCACAGCTATTGTCTCAAGACAAGTCTCCCAGTCTGTCGGCTAATAGCATGCAGTCTGATTATTCATCCAGAGCTTGGCATTCAGACTCTCATGTTTTAATGATCATCCCACAATGAAATATTGATCTAAGTGGCATACGGGTTGGTGTGACTTGACGGTTAAACACTGCTAAATTCAACCCTTTCCTCATCTTCAAACCTCTGCAAGGTGACGTGTAGCTGGAGGAAAACTGCGAGGTCTGATCTACAAAAAGGCCCCGAGGAGCAGCAGAGAATGTGAGCATCTGAGCAGTGAATCATTTAACAGTCCTATAGTGTCCTGTCATTTTTCACTTTCTATATGGAGCCGCTCATTTATTAGCACTTGAGATTTTTCTAACACAAGCTTTTAAATGCAACGTCCACATCGATAACTTCCTCTTTAGTCTTTATGCTTTCATACAGTCACAGAATGGAGGACAGGTCACAGACATGTATGCATATTATGCACATAATATGCATATGCACAGTATGAATAAAATGTTGGCCTCTCGCGGCCTCTTTTCAGAGTCACAGCTTGAATGGAGGGGACAGGTCACGCATGTGAAACTTTTATGTTCACTCCACTCCTGTGTATTTGTAGGTGGCCTATTATGCATATAGAGTATTTCATATGGATGAGATGTTGGCTGCCTTTTCGTGGACTTACACTGTGTCTCCGGTTGGACAAGTCAAGCATGCATGAATAAGTTACCATGTGCTCTTAATGTATGTCACTCACTACACCACACTTCCTCCAGGGGATGCCAGTATGGATGTGTGCACACAGCGACAGACTACTCTACCACTCCTTTTGCCATCCCACCATTCTCACACTCTCACACTTAAACCACTCTTTTTCTCCCTCAGCCTGCTCCACCGTGCACCACCTCCTCCTATTCCGCCAGTTAAATCCTTCCATATTCACACATTGTTGGTGCTGTGCTCATGCAGGCACGCTGTGGTGCATCCTCCCCTGCTTGTCCCCATACTTCCCTCCCTCTCTTCCATCCTTCTCTGCCTCTCTCCCCTCTCAACCTCTCTGTATTAACTCTTCAGAGGTGCCACAGCTTGTAGAGTCCACTGTGGCAGACACAGCCAAAATGACAGCAGGCACTCCAGCCTCCCTCCCTTTCCTCCCCTCGCCCAGTCATCCATCCTTCCTTCACGCTACGCTCTCCTCGCCACCCCTCTATCCTTACACTCGGTCAGTGCCGTAGCTCCTGTAGTCCACGGCAGCGGAGACGGCCACTATGACAGCAGGCACTCCATATCCTGCCAGGTAGAAGTACTTAGTCCTGGAGTGTTCGCTCTCAAACACCTCTACCAGCATGATGTAGAGCTGCACCCCTTCCAGGAACATCCAGGTGAAGGCTGCCAAGAAGAAGAAATGGAGCAAGGCTGCGAAGACTGCACAGGCAATCTGGTGAGGGAAAGAAAAGATGGAGAGGATTTAAAATTACAGTTACACTACACACAATGCTGCTCAGGAAATACTTAATCTGGTGGACACTTGCACTGATGAGTTGGTAGAAAAAAGACACAAACACTCCAGGCGATAAGGGTATGAGTCAGACTTTATCATATTCACATAGGGAAGGAAATGTAAGGGATTAAAAATTGGGCTACCAATACTGGAACAGACAGGAGAGGGAGAGGATAAGGCAAAAAGGAATAGAGGGAGCTCACAATCATAGTACACTATAACAGCAATTACAGGCGACAGAATGACTCAAAATCACTTCACGATAGCAATATTAGTCGAGCTTCCTTCACAGTTTACTCCACGTCTGCATCTGCAAGTCATCTAAGAAGATGAATGGGAAAATACAAGTGACAAGTTGGTGCTGCAGCCTGTGCTGATTGACCACATTTCAAACAGAAGTAGCAAAGCGCTTTCAAAACGCACTGGGAGAAAGGAGGGGTGGGGCTGGGTTGGTGAGGAGGGCGAATTACTTGGCAACACAGTTGAAAATACAATATGATTTTTTGTCAAAGCCAAGGATGAACAAAATAAGTGGAACTGCTGCAAAAAAAATGAATCAGTAGCTTGGTATGAAAGAGACAAAGCGCACATAAAAATTGACACATTTTAGAGCTTGTGGAAAGCTGGCAGTCACATCAGTTCAAATGCTATACTAATAGTTAAGTGAAAAAAAAATCAGTTTTTGTGCTTCTACTAGAGCTGAACCGTGTGTTCTAGCTCCTACTACTACATCATCAAAATACTGTTAATTTAGTTTGTTGTGGAATGTAAATCATCAGATATCAAATAAAGAAAATTCACATTGATAACTACTTGTACCGACCACTGTTAGAAGCCAGACAATAGTGACCGATGTAGGGGATGAAGAGTTAGAGAGGCAGATGATAAAATACTAAGAAAACCCTGTGAGTGACTGTCCTGAATGTAAAAAACAAAACAAAAAAAAAACACCACAGGATGAGCAGCAGGAAAATGAAAGAGGGGTATCAAACCTGAAACTGCACTGACAATTTCAGCAATAGGATAGGAAGAAAAGAAGGGTGCTTAAAAAGAGAAGGCAAACGAGCGGTGAGATTTGGCCCGTCACGTTCGTGGCAACGTTCTAATCTAAAGAGTCACTCCTAAATCACTGAATGGGAAAGCTAACAGACAGACATTTTATAATGGAGGGGTTTGCAGTGAGAGACAATTACCTAACGTCTGAGAGACAATGAGTTTAGGGGGCGAGGGAGTCACTCATTTCCATTTCTAATGATCGCACAGTGTAGCTTACACACACAGACAAAGACACACAGACACATTGCACGCACACACACAGGTAAAAAAAGAAAAAAAAAAAAAAAAAGTGGCTGATTATGCAAAGTCATTTACTTTTCCTGCTGGAATTACTGGCTTAACCGGCTGCGAGCTAAGTGACGCTGAAGATGTTAATGGAGGTCACAAATAGTCACCAGTAATTAACAGGAGAACGGCACGCATAAATACAGCAGCACACATGCATAACAAAGAAACATGATCCCTCCCACACAAACACACACAGACGCGGAGAAATACACAAAACACAATGTCAAAACACATTCTATCAAATTTGTTTTGTCTCTTCATTTGCAATAAGAATGTTTTCTCATCGAGCGCACAGCGGGATGCAAAGGCCTGAGGCGGCGCTAAGGCTCCTTGAATACTATGGGGGTGATAAACGATACAGCCCTGAGCACTTCCTCCCCTTCAGACACACACTTCATAATGGTCCAACAGTAAATAGGCAAAAAAATAAATAATTTTTCATGGGCTACCTAGCACTAAGATGTGTACAAACTTTATGTTGATTATATTTGAGTGACCTTGCCCAGAGGAATTAAAGGAGAATATCTCATCTCAGAATCTGTCTCATTAGATTTTTGTGTAAATGCTTGGACCGAAATTAGGTTTAAAATCCTAATCCATGATTGGAATATTGAATGTGGACCATATGGATTATACAACACTGAGGCTGTGACGGGAATGCAGACCACGTGGACCTTGATGGTTAAGCCAAAATTGCACTGCACTGTACACCATTAGGGATGGAGCTTGATATTGGCTGGTTTGCTGATATGTAAAAATTGCTTCACAAATTGTGGCTCTGGGACTTTAAAAACCCTCCACACTCTCAGGGGCAGGACTATTTGTTATGGGTGTCATCAGGATCATTGCAGTTAATGATGCATTTGTTGTGCTGAAAATCTACATCTCTATTCCACATCTAAAAAACTCAACCGTAGAGGAACCACACACTGTGTGAAATGACACTTAATGCATATACTGTCATTGTAAAAAAAAATAAAAACTAACCCCAAATTTGTATTTTATGAAGAACAAAGATTCACCAGTGACCCATTCACTGGTCACAAACTACTGTTGGCTGGTTAACAAAGTAATGCCGAGCAAGCTGTTAACAAATGGGTTAGTTTGTTCATTGCAGAGGTCGAGTGGGTCTTTATCCATATAGCTTTAGATTTTATTATTGTTCTTCCTCTTCTGATGTTGTTGTGAGCTGCAAAAGCTTAACACAGACACACACGAGCAGCAAAGGTCACGCATCATTAACCGTAATAGAAAGTTCCAGTCTGGTAATGTTTGGGTAGTGGGAGCGAAAAAACGGAAAGTGACCTATTAAGTTATGACTAGTGAAGTTACATTACGTCTATTTGCACAAGCTACAGTGGCTGCAGAGAGCGGCATCGGTAGCAATAGACATTTTCAACCATAGATTAGAGCCAGTCAACCTGATGCACAGCCTTGAGAGGTTTGGCCATGACTAATAACTGCTATGCTCATAGACATGTAGAATATGCTGCTATAATGCCACTTGACATTTTTATGCATACAATGACATATAGCCAATACAGACTGACACAGTGACCCAGCATAAACCCCAAGGTTGGTCTGAATGTCAATGTGCATTATTTGACCTGCCCTGACCCCCCGTCGTGAGCTGTTTGCAATTGCAATGAAATGTCAAATTTCTATAAAACTATTACCATCAACAAGATCCTTTATGTTTTATAGGAAACGTCAATGCTTCAAACATAAATTTAGCCCTGCAACTTTTCAACTTTTTTATAGAGAGACCAAATAAAGAAAATAAGCGACTCCACGCTTATGATCAATACTGAGAGTAAATATTTCAAATTCCCTTTAAAAGAATTTAAATTCAACAATTCTGTTGAGTACGCAGTGCTGCATTTATACAAGGTTTTTCTACAGTTTAGCAGTGATGCATGGACACGCAGGTGAAACTGCCTGATAGCACTCTAATGTGAACAGTCAAATGCAGGTTAAACCCATATTCACAGCCCTGCCTCGCCTGGGCTTTGTTTGTGAAAGTTTTATTACTCTGCAAACATCCTCCTCACAACCAGCAGGATTCCCTGCTACTGTTGCCTGAGGGGCGAAATGACTAACCAATGCAAGTTTGGACTGAAGCAGCGTATAACATCAGCTAAGATAATACAAAGCTTTAATAGATTATCTAGTATATAAGCAGTTGTATGTAATGAGCACTTTGCATTGTGAATCATTTCTGTAACTGGGAATGAACCAAAGAAGAGCCAAATTAGTTTTTGTACTCTACAAATTAATAATATTTCAGTTACTTTGCCGTTCAAGAAGCTCGTATACTAATGGCGTTACAAAGTTTTTGTATCCTTTTCTGCCTTGTTTGGCAATGCTTTCTGAATTAGTGTAATATGATTAAGCTGAGAAATTGTCTAGCACCTCTAACACTCAGCATAGCAGTGATGTCATGGAAAACCGAGCATGTGCGGTAAAAACAATGCCAGTAAACTCTGTTTTTGCAGGGTTTTCCCAACGCAGTTTATGAGAAAAATGTTGCATAATCCAGACTGTTTGGATACACGGATATGGTTTGCTTAAATAGTCACCCAGAAATTTCTGTTTTTGATTTATTCCAGGAACGCTGCGTGTACCAGATCTGCTGTTTCTTATTCATGTCGCGGTAATGTGGTCAACCACCGACAGCAAGTTAGTAAACATTTCACGATTTACTCTGCCAACATCGCAGTATAATCAGTGCCATTGGTCGGTGGACAGTTATGCCAAGCCTGTGCCAGCACTACATGAATAAAAAGGCACAGTTTGAAATGTATCCTGTTAGCAAACGAGCAAAAAGATACTGTATATATTGTACACAGATATACACACAAAGACAACCCCGCCCTTCTTACTGGCTGATCGGCCCTGTTGATCCCGACCAGGAACAGTGACTCAGCGATGAAGAGGCTGATGCAGAGGTTCTTGTGGATGGTGTTGCGATCACTCTGAAGTCCACGGAAGAAGCAAAAGGTGAAGATGCAGATAAGCAAGCAAACCAGCGACAACAGGATCCCCACCCATGTGATCACGTCCAGGAGAAGGTCGTGCATGCTGTCTGCTTTCTGTGAGAAGTGCAAAGAAAAGACAGAGACAAGCGTGAGCGGATTATCTAACAGCCATTTACAGCTTCTATGTTTAACTAAGTTTTGCTTCGGTTTGCTTAAAACACATGAGTCATATTGTTGCAACACGAAAACATGCTGTAGAGTCAGACCCACAGACAGACAACTCCCCTCCCCTGACTGATGTGAGTCTGGCTGTGTGTCGCTGAGCGTTCAGGGCCACAGCGTAACGCTGCGTTGCACAGGTGTGCTGGCTCTATCCATCAGTGTCCTGCAACCTGGCAGGCAGAGCAATGTTCAACATAGCACTGCTGTGATGGATCTACTGCTCAAACCCTCACACTGCGTTCACACAGTGGCTGCCAAGCTAGGTCTGACCATGACCCCTTTAGAAGTAACACACATCCTCCTGGCCCAGAGGGAGAGACTGGGTGTCACACATTATCCGGAGTTACAAGAGCCGATATGTGAAAAGGAACTTGGTCTTAAGATAACAAAGGATGAAGAGAAAAGGTACTTATCCCACACACAGTGAGACAATGAGGTTTTTGTCCACTGCCCACTGTGGCTCATGGATATCAAAATAAATGCTTTGACTTTATGATCAGTCAAATATGATTTGTGCAATAAAATAAGACCAGCAGCTTCTGTCTCAGATGGACGTTTTATGGTAAATTAAAATGTATCTGTTTTGGTAATCCACAACTTCATACGCTGATGTTTTTTGTCAAACCAGTGTCATCATCAGCCTTGACGAATCAATTGTAAAAATTTCTGCTGCCAAGTATGATTACTCAGTACTGAAGGGTCTGGAGAGTCATAATCTATTTTCCAGATGTTAGAGTCTCCTTCTCTTCCCTCCTTCCCCCTTTTTTTTTTTTTTTTTTTTCCAGGATGTGGTGACCAGCTTTGCCAGCCACTGCTAATCAAATGACGAACAACTGACCCTTTGATATCGCCAATCCCCCTCTGGCAGGAACGGGAGAACAAACGCCTACCTTGACCTCCACATGGGCCATAAGCACTGCAAAGCTGGTGAGGTGTGTGCAGGAGCAGCTGGTGTGCGTGCGATTGGTGGCCAGCAGACGACAGTCCTGCGTAGACCAGAATCCCATCATGGTGCGTTTGGAGTAGCTCCAGAACGAACAGTTGGGATTGAAGTTCTCTTCCGAACTGCTTAGTGGCACGGGAGGAGGAGGATAAGTGAGAGAGACAGGGGGGGGGGGGGGGGGTGAGAAAAGAGGAGGGGTGGGAGAGAAGGGAGACAGAGAACAGATACTTAGTCATGGGGAGGTGGGAGGTAGAACCATGAAGTGGTTGGGGGAGCCAAAAAAAAAAAAAAAAGTGAGAAAAATGGTGGGAGGACTTGGTGGAGAAAGGATGGAGAGGAAGAAACAGAGATGGAGTCAAACACACACAACAACAAAACAACAAACAGAAGGGACGGAACGAGAGAATACAGCAACAAATAAACACGGAGCCATGGCAGGAGGTGACAGCGCTGTGTCCATGCTTGTTGTGTAGGAGCTGCTCGTGTAAACTGATGACACCGTGTGTGTGTGTGTGTGTGTGTGTGTGTGTGTGTGTGTGTGTATGTTGGGTTCGTGAAGTTATCTCAAAATGAGCAAGTGAAACAGTGAGGATTTCTTCGCAGCCAACAAGCTGGATCACCAACTGGATCAACATTTGCTTGTTGGATGAGAAACTCAAATGTCAAAAAAATGTTGCACTGACCAAAACAATTAATTCATAATAAAGAAATGTGAAATAACTACAGCTTGGTTCAGTGTGTGATTATTGTTATTAGCAGAGCTGTTTTCATGTTATCTGGGATGAGTCAGAGTGAGACGAGACAGGTCAACGTGAAGTCTTGTCAAAGCAAGTCACAAGTCTTGATAAGCAAATTGGTTAAAGTCAGTTTCAAGACTTTCAGATGGCTAAACACTGACCATAAATGACAAAGCATTTTAACACGTTCTTTTCAAAGCTGTGCTGAATAATTTTTTTTTCTTACATAACTATGACCAAGAACTTTCAGTGCTTAGGCATAATAATTAAATATTCAAGCTGCATGGCTATGTCTGTCACTGATTATTTTTTCCAGGTCAAAACATAAGAATATTTTTGCAGTCTTGACTTGTATCCACGTCCATCCAGTCTACAGCTCTGGTTATTACCACTTACAGCTGTTATCGAATGATAAGGCTGACACTCTGTCATTGGCAACAAACCACACGAAGACCTCAAATTTCCGTGACCCGTTTATTTCCTCTGAAGACAAAAAGTCTTTCAAATGAGCCACAAATACTGGCTTTTAATACTACTACTAATATTACTTTACTTTTACTTTTTAAAAAGGCTTAAGCAGCAGGGAACTGTAGTTTTTTCTTGTTTTTACAAATAGGGGTAAATAGAGCATTTGTTGGCATTTTTAATACATATTTGCTGCATTGGTGAGTATTTATTGCTCATGTTTATGGTAATGGTGGAACATGTCACTATGACCTTGTTGCACTGTATTTTCAACAAGTTTTTTTGGACAACAATGGAGCTCTGTGGCACAGAGGAATAAAGTATGTCAAGCTTTGGTGATACAGACAATACTAGTTAAAATAAAAAAAATCATTATTGGCTTCGGCCTGTCGTGATTCTCACATTGCATTTATGTTCTGCCCGTTCCGTGTTTTCTTTGACACTAACTCGCATGTAATTTCAGACCCAGCCACGCCCATCTGCGCCTGTGTGCCTACGATTCTACCTGCCATCTGTGACTCTGTTGTGCTTATGGGTCCTGTTTTGTCTCAAAACATGATATGGTCTTTCCATGGAATTTCATGACATAAGAAAAACTGAAACTATCACCAGCCTTATCCTTTAACCTTTTTCTCTATTCCATTCCATCTAGCAAGTTTTGTTTTTGTTTTTTTTTATTGTTTACAAAAAGAAGTCATCACCTTGCACCTTACTTACCTGCAGGTGTTTGACAGTGAATACCACGGGCTCAGACAGGTAAACCTTATTGCTCTCCTTGTTAATGGATGCTGTGATGACCGGGGAGTTGACAATAACAGAGTAATTAGGGTAGACCGCCTCGCTGCTCAGTCTGACGCTGGCGTTCTCTGTGGACAGGTAGGAACCCAAATTCCTGTACAGGACAAAGGCCATCCTGATCTCACCTGAGAGAAGACACACGGAAACATAAAAGAGGTGCACTTGATAATTGTTGGCTTAAACCGTGATGACAGAAATAGATTGCAAGATTGCAAAGTGGTTAAAAAAAAAAAAAAAAAAATAGCAAGTGGGTTAGACAAAGAGAAGGAGAGAGACTTAATTGTGAGAGTAGGAGGAAGAGAGTGTGAGATTTCTCTTCTACCGTTTCTGCCATGCTGTTTGAGAGTGCTGGCTGACAGCTGGATGGAGTTTCCATGTAGTTCTGACTGAGGGAATGTCAGGTCTGCAAGGTTCCCATCCGTGCTCAGCCTGGCCACTTCCAGCTCTGGAACACACACACACACACACACACATGCACACATACAAACACACAAACACACACACACTTATGTCAAGTCAGTATAGCACGTTAGATCAAGTTTTGTTTTGCAGCTCCTTGTAATAACCATGTTTTCTCACTAAGTGCTTCACAGCAGAACGCAGGCATGAATCCTGAAGCAGTTTCGAGCGTTTCCTAAACAAAGAAAATGAAAAAAGCTTACACACACCAAAGTGAAATAACTTGGATTTTCATACTAAAACAGGCAACTATGTCTCCAGGCAACCGGTCCAACATGTCAAGGTGGATAATCCAGCCTCTCTCTTGTATTGTGGGAATCTAATTTCACCATCCAGGTTCGTTAGCACAATCCTGATTACGGCTCTATAATGTATTAGATAAAGTTTCTAATTAAGGACTAATTATACCTTTGGTGTTTCGCTATCTTGTGCTTCTGAGTGATTTGATGATTTAGACACTGCTTTCGTGGCGAAAAACAGCTCCCTGATCAAATAAGCAAAGCGAGGACATGCTGAAATGGAAATAGAGAGTGGGAGAGGAGTTGGAGTGGAAGAGGAGAGGAGGGTGAAAGGAGAGGAAGTTGAGGAGGTCAGGGAAAAGTGCTGGGAAGAGGTAAAGAAAAAAAGAGAGAAAGAGGGTAGTTAGAGGAGAGGAATGGATGAGAGATGGGAAACGAGCAGAGGACTTGAGGGGAGATAGGCAGAAAGAAGACTCACTGAGTACAATATATAGGGCACAAAGGCAGGCGATACAGAGGTATGGGAGAGAGGAGATGGAAGCAGGCTGAAGCAGGCAGACGTAAACACAGACACTGATATGCAAATACTGGCAGAAAGAAAGAGAAAACACTGCTTAAGTGTCCCTCACATGCACATGAGCCAAACTAAACATTCAAGCTATGTACACACACACACACACACACACACATACATACACATTAACACAACGACCTACCCACACACTTGCACGTACACGTACACACACATCCACACCCACCCACAGCGGCGGGGTATCAAAACACGCTGAGTCTAATCTAATTAAAGCATCCTTGTCATGACAATCCTCCTCCTAAGAAACACACTTGTTCATTATCGTTATCACACACGCACGCTGTTACCGCTGTTACCTTCAAATCACTGATTTGGTTCTAATAATAACACTATTTATTCATCTGCCTAATACTCCACCGCATAGGCACACACACGATCTAACACAATAATATCACCCACAGTAGCTGCAGCGGCTTCTTTTAAATGAGTCACTCAAATCGATCATTCCTGTCGCTCTCTCTCCTCTCGAAGAAGAAAAAAAAATTGCAAGAAGGAGAGTAGCAAGAGAGAAAGAGAGAGAGAGAGAGAGAGAGAGAGAAAGTGAGAGAGAAAGTGAGAGAGAAAGTGAGGATGGAAGAGGAGAAAGAGAGAGATGAGAGGTGGTATCGGGCCAGTTATGAATAAAGGGGAGAGATAATCACGGTGGATCTGCCCACTGGATTAGCTGGAAGGGGAGATTAGCAGCACAAAAAGAAGAGGAAAGCGGAGACAAAATTTTCCACCAAAAAAGATAATTTCCTGTTTTAAGTTCTTCAGAGATGCGGTAGCCTACATCGCGATGACTGTTTATGTAACCATATTTATGTGGTGCGTTCAGGAGTTAAAAAAATTTGGAGGAGATACAAGTCTGAAATTATGTAAGGTAAAATAGTGTAGGAGGGCAGTTGTTGGGAAGGAACTCGAGCATGAACAAGACAAAGTCATGTTAGAAGAAGTGACTTTGTGGAATCCTATCTGTCTATACTGTCTGTGTTTGATAGGAACCAAATGCAGTAATGTTATCACCACATTGTGTGACTTAAATAGCTGTGATTTTCCTTGCTTACTGATGTGAAAGTGAGCAAAACAAACCCTCAGAGCATCATTTGACATTCCACCACCACCATTTCCCTCAAGCACGCTCTCATCCAGTCTCATTCTCTACTCATCATCTTCAGTTCTCTCTCTTTTCCTGCTCGTCCGCCATGACTTTTCATGTCTGATTGAGTGACATAAGCCCAGCGGATCCTAGTAATGGGCGAACGGTGTGTGCGAAATTTTGAAATATTAAATCAAAAGCGGGGTAAACAGGAGGATAATCAAGGGAAACATAGATGCGTGCAACTTGCTGGTCTGGGTGCAGATGAAACGATGGCTCACTGATATATCATCATCTAGAGGCATGAAAAGCAAAGAGGGGCTTTTGCTCTCCAGTATCTCTGCTTTATTCCATGGCCCAGTGATGAGAGGATCGGTGAGAGAAGATGAGAAGAGATGATGGAGGGAGGAGAAAGGGAGAGGGAGAGAAAGGGGATGTGCACAACGCCATAATAACTAGCTTTGTTCTGCTTTGTCAATTCCGCCTACAAGTGGAGGGAAGGAAAAAAAGGGAAAAAATTATTGTCTCTGGCAAACAATTCATCCCTGCTTTAGAAGCCTCAAGGGCAGTTTTCCCCCTGTATTCTGTTCGATTACGATGGCTCTCTGTGGAGTTGACCCTTCAAAGCCTCTCACACAACAACCTGGACCTCTTCATCGTGATCTCTCTTTGACAGCTTTATGCACATGCTTTACATAATAGAGCAGACATGCAAAGCTGCAAATGCACGTAGTGTATTGCACATTTTTCACAAGCAGTTCATAATCTGATATTATATATAAATATATATATACCTTCCTCATACCAATAATATGTACAAGCAATTAACTAATCAAAAGAATGAAGTATTGTAAAACCAGGATCTAAGTTACAGGTTATCGCAGCTGATCCACTCATGAAGGGGAAGGGCCGCTCCGCATATAAGATCAGATTTTGGCGGTATTACACATGGTTGTCCTTGACCCTACTTTAATGTCTCATAAGATAACAGATTTCTGCTCTGTTAATTCACACACACAAATTATTAATAGGACAGAATGAATCACAAAGCATTGTACTCAAATGATCAAACATTTACACCTAAAACGTCTTGTCCTCTTTAACAATCCCTCTTTAGAAGTGATAAAGTACTTCAGAGAAAACGCACAATGTTGCATTAAGTATTACAGAGATGTTTAGTATGTTTATTCCATTGAACAAAATTTCTGTCAGTGTTTTATTGTTGAGTACATCGTAGCTTGTTTTGTTTGTTTTTGTCTGTTAACCTGATTTTCATGTAGAATGCTAACTAATTTATCGTGCTATTAGACTATTCTTTCAATATTCTTTTAGTTCACCTTGCAGCTCAGCTTCATGTGCACAAAGTCTTGCTCTCATCCCTCTAAGTGATGAAACAACATTATTCTGCCTTATTTCCAGTCATGTCCACTCATGTCCATTCACATGTACAGCATGCGTGTGTGTGTGTGTGTGTGTGTGTGTGTGTGTGTGTGTGTGTGTGTGTGATTAACCACATGTAAGATGATGTTATTTTTTGAGGCACTGTGAAGTATACTTTGTTTCTCGTTTGTATTATAAAACATAGATCTGAGGCCGTAGATTCAGTAATGCCTGCTGTCAATGTTGCCTCTTACTATGATATTACATCATATTCTTAGATCTTTAGCAGCCTGAGCTGGTTAGCGTTGTTATAAAATCTGTAAAAGCAAAAAAAAACTAAAAACTGTGAAATGTAAGAACTACAAAATAAGGGCACATTCTAGAAATTCTTCCCTCTATTACTTTTTATTCAGGTGGAGTCAACTAAACAAAAGCTTTTGTTAGGGTTAGGCTTTCGTTCTAGCTGAGCCATAATTTGCACATTCAACACCTCAGACATGCCCAGTGCAGTCACAGCCCTCAACACTCAACCACTGTTCTGATCCACTGTAGCAAATAGAGGTTAAGTGCCTTGCTCGAGGGCATCTCAACAGGCTTCTTGACAGTCCGGCTGAGTTTACAGGACGGGAAGGTACCATAAAAATGTACTCACGGATGTTGTCAGTGGTCTCCTGCACAGTGTCAGTCTTGAGGAGGTTGTCAGCTAGCATAAAAGCCCCAGTCTCCACAGTGTCAAGGAGCAGAGTGGCCGAGTGCAGCTGCTCGCTGGTGGGCAGCTCTCTCCACGCTGTCTGGGCTCGTGGCTGCAGCAAATTATTCACCGTCTCCACCATAGCCTGGGGCAGCAGTATAAAACACGGAGGTCACATGGAAGGAAGCGAATGCACCAAATGCCAATCACTTTCAGTCAATGATGCTAATGTGAGAATTAAGGCAAATATTAATACAAACACCATAGCTAGCAGGCTATGGGATGCAACAGTGAGAATGCAGTCGCTCGTCATTTATCATGTTGATAAGTCATGACAACAAAAAATGCAATGCATATGTGGCATTCCCATGCAGACATCACAAAGGCAAAAACATAGAAGCTATTAAATAAAAAGGTACATTTTCAAAGTTGTACTTCTAACTTTGTGATGTTCATTATCACCTTTTTTTCCTCCACAAATCTCTTTAAAAAAGGATGTTGTGAAAGAAAATCCATCACAGATGTTCTAAAAAATCAAGCTAAGCTAATTAGCTGATTGCAATCACCATGTGTCTACACCCCCAAACCTGGTTCTTTTTTTTCTTTTTTTTTTCTTTTTTTTTTTTCTCAAGCAACAGCCTTATCTTTGAGTTGGAAAACTTATGCTTGAGGGTCTGAGAAGAAATTAGAGTTTTATCAGATAATGTCTGCTGGGTCATATCCAGCCGTGCAGAACAGTTTTGAATCCAAAAATATTACCAAACTAAACGGAGAAGAGTTGGCTCGCATAGATGAAAAGTTCTCTGTGAAACAATACTTATTTTGTCTCCAGCTCACATTCCTTTATGCTCTTAAGAATTCACCTCCTCATTTTCAGACATGAACACCACACATACGCAGATACACACATCTTAAGAGACCCTGGGAGAGATAAAGAAACAGAGAGAAAAGAGAGCCAGCGGAGAGAGGGGGTGGGGGGGAGCATGGGAGAGCGATAAAACAGTCCAGTGAGTCCATGGTGACAGGCGTCCACTGGGAACAAGGGAGGCAGAAAAGCGAACACAGGTGCTATCAAACACACACATCTCACACTCACACAGTCTGTCTCTTTATTTTCTCTTTCTCTTGCTCTGGCTGTAAACCACACTTTCCACATACGCACTCTCATCCTTCACTCATCTCTCACTCTTTCAATGCTTCTCTCTCCTAAGGAGGGTGGATGGGAAAGTGGAAGAGAGGAATACAGGTGCCATTATACAAGCAAAAGGGGGTCTCCAGTAGGGAATTGCAGGGGCAGCAAGGAAGAGCGAGAGACATCTGTTTATTGGAATTCACACATCAGCCATTTGACTTCCTCTCTGCCCCTTTCACTCAGGTTTAGGAAGAAGTGAGAGACCAGGTCGGAGGAGGGAAGACAACAACAGCGATTGTAAAGAAGTAAAGTGTGTGTTTGTGTTTTTGTGTGTGTGTGTGTACACGCTGTGGGTAGGGAAAGCATCCTTGATAGCGAAACCGAGTGTTGATGGCATGTGCTACAAAACGTGCAGTTGGCCCCTGGAATCAGAGCTAATCCTACCTGTTTATTCTGGGGGTGTGATATCCACATGTAGATACAGTATATCACACACATGAAATGGGTGCTTAGTCAACAAGCTAATATGATAATATTATGTCCTCTTTTAGCACTAACAGCTAATTAGCTGGGATGCATATCGGATGAGTTTGGGAGGGCTACATGTAAACAAAAACTAATTAATCCACTGCTTCAGCAAACAACCAAAAATAAGCAGGAGTGGATATGAAGCACACACAACACATACACTTGCAAATCTGTTTCTGTCTCCATCGTTCCACTGTGACAAAAGACTACAAACTTTAAAAGAAAATTCTGCTTTATTCCAAACTGGATTGTTTTCTTTATTTATTTTCTTTATTTTTTTAGTTTATCCCATCATTTCTATCCATTATGATTAGTACTCAACAAAGTTGGGATGAGTTGTCAGATGTTCAAGGAGGTTGGGTTAGCCAATTGATAAAACATTGTCAGCAATTTTGATGAAGTCACATACCAAAGAGAAATGCAAAATGTGCTGGAGCCAGCTTCTCAAAAATGAGGATTTATTGTTTTTCTCCCATTTATACAATTGTAAATTGCATATATATTTGGGTTTTGGGCTATGTGTTGGATAAAAAAAGCATTTCATGTCTTGGTCTCTTGGAAATTGTTGTGGGCATTTTTCACAGTATTTTCAGAATTTTTAGGAACTAAACAAATAATCAATTAATCATAAAAAACAACCAACTGAAAATAAAAACAATCTTCAAATGCAGCCCTTAAACAAAGTTGCCCAAACTGCCCAAAGCACTTTATTTGGAGGTATAACAGGAAATGAGCACATCAGAAATGTCAGTGATAGTCCCTCATGTCACAGTAAAGCTGTAATTAAAATTTGATTAATTACAGTAATTCCTTTAACTGCCAATAGCAAATCAAAAATGGAACCCCAAATCTGATCAATGGCTTTTTAACACAGTTCACTTAATCAGGCTTTAAAAGCTGGTCTTACTTTTTGCTCTTGACAATTTGAGTTACCATGTTGGCAGGATTCCACTGAATTTCCACAAAGGCGCGATAGGTGTAAGTTCAACCAGGAGAACAGTCTGCAAATGGATAGCAGATTTTTCCAAACCGTAGTGTGTGTTTATTAATGTGAGCATTTGCCTTTGTTTTGTCTCCTTCATATTATTTCAGCTCACCTGTGCATGTGTTTGGAACCTGTATATTTGTGTGACTTCTCATGTTTCTCACCCCATCAGCTTTAGCAAAGTCACCATGTTCCCAGCAATTAACTTGGCGAAGCCCAAAGTTAATAGTCCTGATGAAGGAGGAATGATGGCCGACATCACATTGATGAGAACCAGTTTGTTACAGAATTTCCTTAAAACTTCCTTCAAATGATTTTTGTTCTCATCTTAATGTACTGAGTGTGTGTATGAGTAAGTCCATATGCACTGACACACATGACACACATATAGTGAGCGTGTGCACTTGTTTAATATGAAAATATGTGTGTTTGTATGTGTGGGTGTGTGTGTGTGTCTGTATAGTATACGAGATGGGAGGCATGTGTGCTCCTCTACGTGTGTGTTATGTGCTGCTGTGTGTGTAGTTGAGGGTGTGCACAAGGGGCTGGGGGAAGCATTGCAGTGCATCATTCTGCTCCACTTGCTGTACAGTAGCAGACCAGGCAACAGAGAAAGACAGGAGCGGATGCTCTGTAGGCGCAGCAGATATGACAGCAGTGCCACTGCTTTCCATTCACTCACGCTGGTGGTGCTGCTCCCGAACGCTCACTTTGATGTGTTTCAGATAACCCCCCTTTTCTACTCTCATTAAACTTTTCATTGCTTTTTATTGAACTTTTGATTATCTTGCATTTTCAATTTCATATAATTTTTTCATTGAAATTTAATTCTCTGCTGCGGAGATTGCATCTGTAGAGGAGAGAGATAGGTAAGGAGAATAAGGGGTGTGATTTCCTTGAGGTCCAGACATCTCCACATCAGAAAGTCAGAGATGGAATATACATGATTGTGTGTGTGTGTGTGTGTGTGTGTGCGTGGGTGTGCCTGTAAGCTCTGGTGCAGTTGGTGACATTTCTATCCGCACAAGTATGAGGACTTGAGGGCTAAAATGGAGACAGGTTTTTTTTTTTTTTAGGGGTCTTCAAAGAGGGGAGAGACTCTGCAGAGACAGATAAGGGTGTCGTTTGTGTGTGTGTGTCTATGTGTGACTATGTATTACAGAGCAGACATGCGCGTGTGTGTGTGCACGTACACACAGCATGCACGCACACGCACACACAAACACACACATACACACACCAGTAAATGGGGCAGAAGTGAAATGCTTTGAAGCGTTGGGGTGATCCAGCGTAAACAGCAGCGGCAAGACAGACTAGAGCTGGGCTGCTCTACTACTCCCAGCTACAGAGGGAGAACGCGGGCACAAGCGCATGTGCATGGATGTACAGTATGTGTACACTCACGCACAGTAAGACACACTTTATAAAGACAGAGTTGGGATGTTAGAAGTATGGAAAGGGGCGAGAGTAGAGGAAAGAATGGATTTTTTTTTTTTTTCTTTCACTCGCTTGGCTGAGCTCCGAGAAAGTGCATGTTTTGAAAATGTTTTCATCAGAGAAGCAGGCTTATCTGTCAGCTGTTGTTGGAGTTTGTCTTCCCTGACAGGGCGAGATTGCAGCTAAATCAGGCTTTAAATTCACAGCATGCCATGTTCTGACCCGCCATCCATAAATAGAGGGCAAATTAGACATTGTCATTGAACATCACTGTCTCCTCACTGCCCTCTTTATTGTTTTTCTCTTTCTCTCACATTCCACATTTCTGTTTCTGTGACTCTTCTCGTTCTGTTTAATCCCTCCCCATCCTCTCTTTCTCAGTCTACCTTGCAGACTCTACCTCCCTCCATCAATCCACCCTACAGCATCAAAGCCTCTCCACACCACCAACTTCATCATGAATAAATTGCCAATTTAGTATACATGAAACGAGTCCCCAATTCCCCAAACGAAGTGAGAGAGGAGGAGAGATGAAGTGAGAGGCAGAGAAAGAAAAAGGGAGAGAGAGAGAAAGAGAGAGAGAGAGAGAGAATTCAATTATTTTTTGTCTCCATTAAGAACCAAAACCTCCTGCCCACTCTCCTCACTTGGCAATTAGTGCTGTAGATAATTAACGAGGAGAGGGCAGCACCACACCACATCCCTAATCACGCACATTTCTATCTGGCAGAGTAAGGGACTGTTGGTATAATTTTGTTTCACATTACTAAGGCTAATTATATAATCGATCACTCCCAGCCCCCTACAGTACCCAAGGTGTGTGGGGGAACATTTTGATTTGAACCTGTGACTAGCTTTCTGAAAACCGCCACTCCTTGGAATGCATCATTTATTGGATTAAGGAGACACATCAAAAAGGTCTGACTGTTCTGATGTGATGGCATAAGATCATTGTTGAAAATATATTTATATATTTCACGGCGTGTGCGTGAGCGTATGCGTGTGAGCGTGCGTGTCAGCCCGCATATAGTCCTAAGCCATGTTCTATGATGTGACATTGCTGACTGTTGCTGACGTTAAGACTTTTCAGGGGAGAGTGGAAAAAAGCCTGCATCAGGAGAAAAAGAGCTAGCCCATCAAGGGTGTGTGTGCGTGTGTGTGTGTGTTGGGGGTGGGTGCGCAGACAGAAAAAGAGAGAGTCTGCAGTCTATGTACAGCACATGGATGAGGGAAGGTGGGGTCCTTTGATGTTCTGTATAATGATTTTAGCTGACCAGAAACATGCCTAAGTGATGTTAGATTTTCTGTTCACGGTGTGAGCCCGTGGCATCAACATGAACAAACATCAATACAAGCAAACCAACAAGGACGAAAAATGCATTCTGAGCCACAAACACAAGCTGGTATTATTTTTAAGGCACTGAAGCCGTGATCAAGCAATGTGCAACAGGATATCCATCATACTCAGTTCTTTCTCTCTGATACAGCAGCAGAGAGGACATTTCACTGAATAGAGATGGATAGCGAGTCATTTGGTTCCAGGTAGGCCTGTTTACAATTCTGCAGACAGAACTGCAAAATAGATGAGCTATTATTGATATTGATCATGGCCTCTTATCAGTACCATTGATTTGTAAATGCAAAAAACAAAAAAAAAAAGAAGAAGCAAAATTGAAAACAAAAGAATGTCAGCAAACCCTTTGAGGAGACTAAAACTTCATTATCAGACACCAGTGGATGGTTGCCAGTGACTCTGATGCACACTGTAGTTCAGGACCAGAAGAGACCTGTTTAATGACCGACCTCCTCAAAGAGTTAGGATGCAAATCATAAAACAACTGCTGCAGCATAGAATTAGAATTCTACGTCGAGCGTTGTAATGTGTGAGCGCACACACACGCAAGCTTGCTTTGCGGATTACATGCTGAGTGTGAAGGAAAAAAAAACAAAAAAAAAACACATGTGGGACTATGGTGTGGCGAAGTAATCAACAATACCAGGAAGCGGAAATACCTGTGTGAAAAACCTGCAGGACCTTTCTCTCTTCTGAAGCTGCAAATTCAAACAATTCAGCTGTTAGCGATATAACACCTCTCAATCATACACACACACACACACACACACACACACACACACACACACAGACACACACATACACATACATAAACATACACACACACACACACACACACACCACACACACACACACACACACACACACACACACACACACACACACACACACACACACACACACACCAGAGCACACAAAGGCAGTCACACCCACTTCATTAACATTGCACAAAAAGACTTTGGCAGCTGAAATATATTGTTATTCTCCTCACTCCCCTCCTTTTTTTTTTCCATTCCATCTCCCATAACCGTCTTTCTTGCCTCCTTTTTCTCCTCTTCCTTTCCTTCTTCTTCCAGATTTTTTCATAATCTCCTCTGTTCCTCCTTTCTTTTTCCTAGTCATTCTCAGTATCTACCGTAAAGTGAATTGATGGCATTTATTACTATGCAATTCGTGCATGATTGGTCATATTTGATTTCCTAAGGAAAATTTGCATAATAAGCAGGCATATTACTCAATTAGGTATATATAATTGGGTCATTATTGAAATCAAGGGGAAAGCTTTCCCTCTTCTATGGAGGACCTTTTTTTTTCAACAAATTCAACCTTTAACACGTCATTTGGTCAACAGCAAAACATATTAATTGATTCCACTCACACATGCTCAAGTATGTATTCATTTCACACATGTCACTGAATTACTTAGAAGGAGCAGAGGAGATGTAAAGAGTGTGATAGAAAGGGAAGGCAGAAAAGGGAAAATAAAGCAGACCTAGTGATTCAGATGCTAAAGCTTAAAGGGAAAAAAGCCAGTGACTGTATAAGAGGTGGCAGCAGCTGTCAATCTGGCTGCTAAACCCCGCCTGTCACTGTTGACCTCAGCAGAGACGATCAAGAAACAGTCAGTCTTCCGGTCAGTCAGTCAATTGGCCAGCCAAGCCAGCCAGTCAGCCTTTCCCCAATGATTTAACTCACTTTAATTGAATGCCTACATGAACAAAGAAATTCTTTCCTTGTCTACCACTGTAGTAAAACAGATCCTTTGCATACTCAGGATCGAGTTTCCATTAATGTAATCCTGACATAAGCGCTCCAGCGTGCTTGTCGACAGCATCCTCATAGCTGTAGCTCAAAGACTGAAGTTCATTGAACAATGAGCTATGACGTAAAATGTGTCCCAAGCCTGTTTTCAACGCAAGTACTGTATGTTTTAATGAGAATAACTCCCAGGGCGAGACAGAGATTTTATTAAATTTCAGTCCTGATCTGAAAAGAGTTGAGGAACCCTGCCAAAGACTAAAAGCAGTTATCTATCACCCATTATGTTAAGCAAAACTTGTTACAAAGACTCGCACACAGAGGAGGATAAAAAAAATGTTTAAAAGCAGCTATTTATCATCTGGAAATCCACTGTGTTATGTATAGTTCTTCATCAAACTCTGCACACAGAGACTTTTCTAACCCCTGAAGAATGAATGCAAGACAAAAACACCAACCACTGATGCTATTCATCTTACTATTAACTTGAAAGAGTCCCTCTATCTGTTCTCCTTTCTCTCCCTTGTCCTTCTTTCTTATTTTATTCCACTTTCTGTCATTTACCCTCGCATCCTTCCCCATACCAGTGCCTGCAAGAAAGCCTCACTCACTCACTCACTATGCATTAACATCCCAACACAAGTGTGTCTTGAATCTTAAATCTTGAAGCAGTACCTTGGTGAGGCTGCGGGCAGCGCTGTCCTTGCCCCCGGGGGTGAGGTTCCTGAGCTGGACGTCCAGCAGTTCGACCAGCTGGGCCATGGCCCGCACTGTGGATGGCACATCGCCAGGACGCAGAAGCCCTTTGGTCTGCTCTGCCAGCTCCCTGGCTACAATCGCTGCCGTCTCACCCGAGCGAAGCTGGGAGCCAAACACAGTGACGGGAGAACAAAGTCAAGGGAAAAGGAAGATTGATGGAAGCAAAGAAGTCAGATGAGGTGAGAAGGGAAGGAAAAGTCGGGAAGAGGAGAAAAAGTTAGCAAAAGTACGAAGAGGACAGCGGGAGAGAGGAATGAAAAGAGTGCAGTAATAGACAGATGGAAATATTTAAGGACAGGAGAGGAAAGACAGAGAGGTAAAGGTCAGATGGAGTGAGAGAGTTAAGTGTAGAGGAATGGAGATGGGGGTTGAGAGTAAGGAAGAGATGTGGGACCATAAAGAGCAGAAAAAACAGCAAATAGGTTAGCTGAAGGGGCAGGAGGAAACCAGGCTTTCATAAAGTGTTCATAAAGACATTTAATAACTCTTTACAGAAACAACTCCTAATTTAGCACCTCTGCTCCAATGCTGATTTCACAGGGACCATTTGCCATGTTTCATCTTTTAAAGAAAACCTCTAAAGCCTTTTGGCTCATGTGAGAACAGACACAAAGCAATAAACTGGAACTGTAGAAAGTTACTAGGCCAGCACTTTCCAGAATAGAAGTATCTTAAAAAACCTGAGAAAGTAATGTTTTCCTATGCAGGACCAATTGATTCTATGCAGATCATGCTTTCATGATGCCTGTTAGCCCATTATAATAACAGGAGTGTGTGACTGAATGACCTTACTGGACATTACTATTCCCCTACGGCTATATAAAATCTCTCAGATCTCAAACACGGGTTAGGGATAACAAATGAAGATGGATACGTGGCCTAAATCTCTCCCTGTGGTCAGTGCATCTTCATGCATGAGAAATTGCTCCAGGACTATCCATAATACATATCCTAAAACTAGGGCTCAATAGTACCCATGACGGCCAGCAGCAGCTTTCAGACTTACTTTCTGCATGATGTGGTTGACCCAGGGTGACGTGCAGTTGCTGAGGTCAGGGCCTTGAGGATCCCAGTAGCCCAAATGGGCCATGCACACGTATGTGGCCACGCCTGCAAAACAAGCAAAACAAACAGGGTAAGACAGCATTGACATTCACCAGGAGACACAAAGTCTCTTGAGGTGCCCGGGGTTCACTAATCAGATTGTGTGTGCATTTTGTGTGTGTGTGTGTGGCTTGCAGTTGGAGGATTGAGGAATCAGCTTTGTCATGTGAGCTAATTGATTAAAACGGAAGAATTTGTCCTCAGGAAGTGTGTGTGTGTGTGTGTGTTGTGAGAATTTATACTACTCCACTACATTTTCAGAGGGAAATACATATATTTCACTTTGTACCAGCCCCTTAAGACCCCTTAGATCCTACTCTTCTCCATCCCACTCAAAATCAAAATCAAAGGGTGGCTGAGCACGCTGTGGAAAAGTTTATCCCTCACTGTCAGGTCCTCCCCATGCACTGCCACTTTGAAATCTCGTCTTAAGACCCATCTTTTTAAAATTGCTTTGGAGTCTTTACAGTTATCATTGGGATTATGTGACTGCTTTCATTTTATTTTGTGTATTCCACCTACATCATCAATCTATTTATTTTCATTTTAATTATCCAACTGTTGAGTAAAGTTAAATCAATTTATTTATGGAGCACATTTAAAGACAACAAAGCAACGTTAAGTTTTTCAGAATAATTTAAAAATGCAATTAAACAATCAAAATGAAAATGAACTCACAATAATTAAGTTTTTAATGTCCTTTTGTAATGTACTTTAGTCAGCATTCATCATTTTTAAATGTGATCTATAAATATTTTGACTTGACTACAGCTAGCAGCTAGTTACTTTACAGGTTAAGGTTTCACATGCAGGTATGATCACAGGTTCAGAGGATGGTACATTTCTTAGTGTTGTTTTTATTTTTCTCTTTAACCAGAGATGTTCCGATATATTTTTTTCCTTTCCTTAAATAGCTGTATCAGCTGCATATACTATTAATACGTATGGGTATGTATGGATGTGATATAATTGCGCTCTTCCTTTTTTACAGTGGAAACCGCTTATAGCGATCAAAAAGCTTGGGAAAGATTCATTCCTATACAAATGCTGTTGAATAAATAGCCTACAAAAATCAAGTCGTCTGCTTAAAGTGTTCATTTTATGTGTTTTCATGCTTGACAACATATGAAAAAAGAATTCAAAACTGTTGTTGCCTACTACCGCAAGTTGTCATTTGCTAAGGCCCCCCAATTTACTATTCTGACTGACTCTCGTCTCATCTCACCCAAGCGGCAACCTCCAAGGCTGAAAATGAAGCCAACACGGAAGTACCACACACCTCTTATTTGCCCATTTTTGGATTAGCTGGAAATTCAGCGAAATCAGGCACTGCCAAGATGGCGATGGCAGGGCAGCCCACTCTGAGCTTCAAAACTGCTCCTCAGAAACCTATGGGTGACGTCACGGAGGCTACGTCCATCTATATTTACAGTCTATGGTCTCACCATGTGTATCTCACTCACTGACTCAAGTCACAATGATTGGCTGAGTAGCATCACGTGACCAGTGCCGTGAAGGGATAGAAAAACTGGACCAGTTAAAACAGAATCATTTGAAATGTATGTAAGTTATAGTCCGGGTCTGGATAGGACAGCATATGGGTCTGAACCCGGACCACAGTCTGCCTATTAGTGACCTCGGCCAACGGTTAATGTTACGCTATTTACCAGAATACACTGCACAGTGCAACTTCCTCTTTTAAAGCAGCGAAAGAGGATTGATTTCTGGGAAAACTGCTGTTTTATCTGGGTGCAAAACTACAATACATATCAATCCAGTATTTTCATTTTCATCATTTCCGATACTGGTATCGGAATTTGAACACCTCTATATTTAACTATGGCATTGATATTCTCTTTGTTTTGCACCAAAGAACTCATGACTATGGAGGGAATAATGAAGCATATACAAAAAATCCTAATTAGCAACAGAAAGACACATTGCACTGGACAAAGCTTTCACATACATTTTAACCACTGCTTCACTGCTCCTATCTCGCCTGTTCCTCTTTACATTCTGCTATCCCCCAACCCATGCATCCTTCTTACCCAGTGTCCCTACAGGACAGGGCTGCTTGGCTGTCTGGCCTTGCTGTGTCCGGGGCCACGATATGTCGGCTGTCACCCTCGGGCTGCAGAAGTCTTGCGGAGGCAGAGCAGGAGGTTGTGGGGCTGCTGGAGGGACCTGCACTGGTGGAGAGCGTCCTCCAGCTTTCTGGTTGGTGTCAGGAATCTGATTGGTGTCAGAGGATGAGCCACCGCCAGGAACCAGAATGGGCTGGCGAATTGTGGTCGTGGTTCGGTACCGCTGGCCGGGGGAGGTGGTGAGGAGAGGCCTTGGGGTGGTGTAGTAGGGAGGAGAACGAGTGGTGGTGGTGCGGCTGGTAGACGAGGAGGAGGAACCCCCACCACCAATTGGACCTCCTCCTCCTCCCCCTCCTCCTCCTCGGTTAGGGGGGGTCATGGGAGGTGGGCGATAGTCTAAACAGAAAAGAGAAAGAACAGAGTTTAAATTCACAAAAACACCGCACCTGGGTTCCTAAACCAATAACCAAAATGTGTTATGCAGATTTGTGGGTCCCAACACGACTGGAGTGCCGACGTTTTTTATGTGCTCTGGATGCCAGCACAAGAGTTCAAAATGTATTCCCTCGATGAAAAAGTAAGAACAACAGAGTTTAAAGAAGTGTGATTGAGCAAACCATCTGCATCATGCGTCATGTGAGCAATGGCCGAGCGTAAATAATATTACAGTGACTGACACAAACACATTTGAAGGCACTCATTTACACATCACTAAATAGCTTTGACAGGGAGTAGCTCATGTTTCTGATGACTTCCTATTTTTAATGTTTCACCCCTTGTCAGTGAGGTCAGATGCTATTTTCTTTATCCATTTCTCCCAAAATCAGGACATGTTTCCAAGCAATTCAGTCAACAACAGTTACTACAGAACAACATAAATGTGTGTGCTAAAGTGGTACAATAATTGCATTAATGTGTAAATCCAAAATCTCCAAGCAACAGCAACAATTTGTTTGTCCTGCGAGCGTGCACAAGGTTACCAGTCTTTCCTATGGGACTGGTACGCAGTAGTGGTTCTTGCTGCCTAACCTGGCAGAAAAAAACATTCTTTCAAAGTCATGCATGATTCATAAAACCATGACATCACGTGAGGCAGAAAGGCCACTTAAATACGTATGGCACACTCTTTTATTGTCAATATTTAATTGTAAAAAGGCTCAATTATTCACATTGACCCTGTTCGGGGGACAGAAGTAAAGAATGAATGGATGAGATGATGGGAAGAGAGAGGAGAAGACCACGTGCTTGTGAAGCGTTACAGTGTCCTCTCGTGAACATACAATACCGACTTGTCTCTCTCCATCTGCTCATTGCTTCCAGCCGCATGTGGTACAAATCAATATTGCAGGATCGAAAGTTGAGTAGATGGAAATAATTATTTACACTTTTCCTTCACTTTCCCTTTGAATTATTTTATTGGTCGCAAATCATTTGGAAGTCATTATGTGCATTATTGCATACAGGTGGAGCCCATTTTCTAAAGCTGCATCTTTTCTTGGAAACAAAGCAGGGAATAGTTTAATCTGTCACTGCGAACACTTGAACACTTGAAAAAATATGTAAATTACACTCAAGAACATTTTTAGAAATGTGTAATTACAGAAAACAAACCCACAACCTATGTGTTAAATTTAAACCTGCAGAGGCTCCACATTGTGCTAATTAGTATGGATAGCTCCTTACTTAATTTTTACACTTTATAAACGTTATTCTTTTGCATCTGGTTAGACACAACTACAACTGAGTGACACTTGCAGGCCTGTACAGTTAGCAACTAGAATTACTGTATGAAGCTGCCAACCAATCAACTTGCAGGAAATATGGTCACAATCTCCCCTTCCTGAGTTACAAGAAGTTAGTTATTGGAGTTACAGCTCCTGAGTAATGTCCAGAAGTGTTTTTGCAAAACATTATGATGTCACAGTGAAGTTGATAATCATCAAAATATCGCCACTTCATCATTTTAGACATTTGTGTTACATTGTGTCATAATTAGCCTATGAATTTTTGAGTTATAGATATATATAGATTTTGATTTGTGAGGTCACAGTGAGCTTGACCTTTGACCTTTGGATACCAAACTCCAATCAGTTCATCCTTGAGTCCAAGCGAATGATTGTGGCAGATGTAATGAAATTCCCTCTGGGTGTTCCTCATATATCGTTATATCGTTAACAAGGGACAGACGTGAGGTCACACTGACCTTGACCTTTGACCACCAGAATCCAATGAGTTCATTTTGGAGTCCAAATTTGAAGAAATGTGTTCCTGAGATAATGGGATGGACAGACAGAGAACCTGAAAACATAATGCCTCCAGCCTCAGCTGTCGCCAGTGAAGACTTATAACAACAGTGTTGTTTATTTTCATCTTCCTATTAAAAACCCATGTGTATTTCCTTAAGTACACATAAAGGCAAGCACACAAACAAACAGAGAGGCAAACAGACATAAACACAGAGGCAACTCTTTTACATCACCAAACTACTCAAATATGAATTCTCATTATTTCATGTTATGCCACTTTTATAACAGAAATATATATTTTAGAATCTTAGGTTCTGTGTTGAGTTATTACCTGAAGAAAACCGAAATCTGAGAGTGAAATACTCTGTCCAGAAAAGCCGAACTGGGCTGAACTTGCCTGAAAACTTTTTCCTCACCAGCTCCATGCCAACCTGCTTCTATGAATTAGATTTCTCTTTTTCTGAAGAGTGTGCATTATATTGCCATCACGCTGCATGATTCCTGGGTAATGAAGTCCTTCGAGCTCTAAAAAGTTCTGCTATCACTCAATGCCAGTTGGAGTAGCAAACAGTGTGAAGTTGCTTTGTGTCGCTTTAAGTCTGCCTTGATGTTAAAACTCTCTGTGATTTTTGGTGCCTTTCAATGGAAAGCGCAGGCACTTGTGTTTCTCTTTCCAAGGCGTTGGTGCGCCTTAGGCGATAACATGTACTACATGCCGGTCATTGACATTGAAGGGTTACAAAGTCGTTTCTCAATGGAGCTGTATGTTTCGCTCAGGGAAGGGGTGTGATTGTATGAATATAGACTGCATATTGTCAGAGTACAATCAACACGTGCTTGATCTGAAAGCACCTGATCTCTGTATGGTCTGATATGGGGTTTGATGTACATTGAATTGGTTTCTTTTTGTCGTTTTTTGAGGTTGGAGTGCGAGGTGCGAGTTTGGAGATTGAGGGGTGTGTGTGTGTGTGTGTGTGTGTGTGGGTGTTAAGGAGTGGGTGTTTATATTATTTAATGTGAACTGAAATTGTCCCTTCCTGTGGATTTTGAGTAATTAAAGACTCTGTCCCTCTCTCTGTCTTTCTCCCGTCCTCTGTCAGTCTGTCTGGGTGACTGACAGCGATGTAACATCCCGCTCCTCCCGTACGTTCTGTTCTCTTCCTCCACAATTCAATGGAGTGTTTCCGTACCTAAACTGTGCTGCTCCCCGTTCCTGAATCACTGCCGCCCTGCCTCATGCATTCTCCACGGAACATTGCCATCAATCATGCGTGGCAGCAGTGGCCTAGGGACTAGCTGTCAATCTGCGTGTGTGTATGTGTGTACTTATGAAACAGTGAGTGTTTGTGTGTGTGCCTATCTGCACTCAAACGGGAAGCTCCATTAGGGGCTCTGCCACAACATCAGAAGAGTAATGGTGTGTGCGTGTGCGTGTGTGTGTGTGTGTGTGTGTGTCTGAGGTTGATGTCTGCTGTCATTTGAGTACAGGGCAGAAAACACAGGGGCTGGCAGCTTGGGGTGAGGTAACACAAAAGCCTGCAAGCATCACAGACAAGGGGCCACAGCACTTCACTGCCCATGCATCTCTATCTCTCTTCTTTGCTCTGCTGTTCTCTTGACATTTTCCACCTGATTTGATCGCTCACTCCTAACTTTTTTTTCTTCACTTTTTGCCACCCTTTTTATTCTACCTACTTTAACTTCTAGCTCTTAATAGACACTCTCTCTCGCCTGCGTCTTTATTTTGTCCTCCTTTGCTTGCTCTTCTCTTCGCAGCATTTAGACGAAAAAAACAGACTCGTAATGTGATGAATTTATCAACGGCATCACTAAGGATGCTGCGAAAGATGCTGTGGGGAACTACGGGAACATGACATAACAGCTTCATGAAACATTTATGGAGAAAAGGGCTAGAGGTTGTACTCACGGGGACTGACATATCTCCCTGCGTTTAAGCTTAGGAAGCTGTGAGTAAATGCGTTACGACATCTTCATGATGTCAGCTAACCTAAACGTTGCGCTCTTCGCAGAGACAGATGCCACAAGAACAACCGTGTGACACAAAGCAAAAACACAGTCACAAAATCAGTACAAGTTGTTCACTTAAGGATTTTACTCTATGCCCTGCACACGCTTGAGGCTGACATATTTTGACAGAAGTGTTTAAGGAGAAAAACTAAGAATCATATTACATATATATGTGATACTTCATGTCAACAGCCTCACTGGAAATTGTAAGAAATCAATTTTCTGCACATCTTTCTGCACTGATGCTCTACTGTTCTCCACCCTGAGAACAAGTTACTTCTGCATCATTAACCATTCTATTAAACACTGGGCAATAAGCTTGAAATCAACATCACATAACCATCTTTAAACATTTTTGATAGAATAAACCTCCAAATAAATTTGGAAATTGGGAGGTTGCACCGGAAATGCAGCAAGATCACATGTAAAATCGAATTACTGTTTAATGTGATGAGTTGTGCTCCACTGTTGCATTAGACAATAATCATCAAATGTATAAAACAGAACCCTCAGTCACCCTCAGTGTTTTTCAGCTTTTAATTACAATTCACTTGGGATAATTAATTTGAAAATTATTTGTTTGTAAAACAGTAACACAATATGAGCATATTATAATGATACAATACCACTAATGCCTGATATGTCCTAATTATATTCTAATCTACTGGTCAAATACAAAAGTTGTTTTGTTTTCTGTGGTTAGTGAGAGTCAAAGTCAAGAACGACCATTCAGTCTCAACCTAACGTGGATGAAAAGGCCTCAAATAGGCTCAGAAAAATGGAAATGTAAACATTTAAAATTCCATAACATCTGGCAAACCCAATCTGCTGGAACAGCTACTAAGAGAATGATGAGTTTGCTTTGTTGGCCACTCTATTCTATTCTATCCTATTCTATCCTGTTGTGTTTGTTTTCCTGACCTGTAGCGAGCCCAGGGGAAGGTGAGACAATGGCAGGCTGGCAGTAAACTTGTTCCTGGAGTTGTCTATCTGACTGTCACCACACTGGAGGGGCCACAGAGATGCTGTCAGTCAGCCTGGGATGCTAGCACATGATCATCTGACATGCAGACAGGCAGACAGTGTGTGTGTGTGTGTGTGTGTGTGTGTGTGTGTGTGTGTGTGTGTGTGTGTGTGTGTGTGTGTGTGTGTGTGTGTGTGTGTGTGTGGCGATGTTTTTCTGTGTGGGTAAGACTGCCTGTCTCTGCCTCTGCTCTGTTGCCGAGAATGCTCCTGTTGACTTCTCATTCGGTAAACAGAGGGATCGTAAATCCACAACACAAAAGGTAGAAGGCAGGGAGGGAAAACCAACTTCCCCTGGCAAGTTTCCCACATTGTCAGAAAAAGAAGTGGACAAACACTGACACTGCAAGAGAGAGGAGGAGTGAAACAGAGGCAAAGAGAAGAGGAGGATTTGAACAAAGAACAGAGAAGTTTCACAGAGCTGAGACGGAGTGTCTATTATACGTCTTTAATATGCAAGATGATTAGTTTCTTGCAGTTTCCTTAAAAGTTATTGCCTCCTTGCCTCTACACTCACACACACACACACACACACACACCATTCTAAACAGTCGGGAGGAATAGATCCAGAGGGGTAACAGCAAAATGATAATCTGACTGGAGGGCACAAAGCTTTCTAGGCTGGATAGTAGCACAGACATTGAATAGGGCTGCATACTGCGATAACGCACTGCCCCTATGGCTGGAGAGCACACTCACACACACACACACACACACACACACACACACACACACACACACACACACAATCACTTACAGACACTTACTTTTTGCTCACTTGTGCACCAAGCAACACACACACACACACACACACACACACACACACACACACACACACACACACACACTCGTTGAACAGAAATTTACTTAACGTTACTTACGTGCAATGCAATACACACGTACACACACGTACACACACGTAAACACACGTACACACACACACACACACACACACACAGGGCTTGTGGCGAGTGGCTCGAGCCTGCTGATAAGACAGAATGGAGCACTTCAAAGCAGTGATACTTGGAGATAGAAAACAACCTCAACTAATAGAGCCTCCCTCAAAATGGCTGCCAGGCACAACCACGTTCCACATCTAATGTTTCCCATACAGACACATCACCGCTCAGCCCTGCTGGCTTACCAGTTGCATAATCATGTCATCCCTCTGCTGAGGTCGGAGACACCTGCAGCAACTTTGCCAATTACATGCCTCGTTCTTAATCAGGGGAAGTTCCCTTGTTCAAAGCAAGAAAGCTAACGGGACAGACCAATTTTGTAAAAAAGTTTTTAATAATTTTTTGTTTTTCTGTTTCATAATGGAAGGAATCATCAGCATATTCCTTTAATGTCCAGATTGTAGCCTTTGCTATTCTAGACATGCATCAAATTTATGTCAATTCTGCAAGGGCAACAAGTATAAATATACAGCAGGCATCCAGCAAAATCCTATTACTGTGTTAGAATGAGAGCTGTAGCCTCTAGTAAGTGACCCTGTGGCTATTCAATATTTTGTTCCCCATAATTTATCACCATGCCCCATCATTTAGAGATTAAGATGGTATCCACTCTGTTGCCCTCCTGCAAATTTTCTATTTCAAAAATGAAATCTGAATAGGACACAGCTATGGCGACACGCTCTGCTCTACTCTGCTCTGCTTGCTGATCTCTTCTGTATTTACTTCCTGCGAAGCTGTGGGCTTCCCTTACACCCCTGTCGTCCTGGCTAGGCCTGCTTAATTTGGCATCTGCTGTTTGGCAGAAGGGAGGCAGTGCGGAGGCCAAATGCAAGCAGAGGCCTGGCTGGGGCAATCCAATCGATAAGGACACACTGCAGGCAAGGAACAGGTGCACCAGACTCTGTGAAGCAGAGTTCAGTCTCTGCTGAGATGGCTGTGTCGTAATCTATTTGGGGGAAGAGGGAGATGGGTGGAGAGGGAGATGGTGGAGGCAGTGGAGGACAGAGGTGAGAGCAGGAGTGTAGACGTAAGGTGTGAAGGACACTTTCTTTTTCATACTTTGTTTTGATGAGACTGTAGATGTATGACTTTGACCATTTTATATTCGAAATGAGATCCAAGAGGACACATATGAAAAGTTCTCATTCTAGGATCAACAACTAGAAAATGGCTTTTTACATTTATTTTTTGACATGCTATCCCAAAATTAGCAGGATAAAATTTCAATTTCAGAGGTTTACACTTTGTAAATAATCATAAAAACATACTGAGTAAACCTGCAATCCTTTTGCTAGAGCTGAATTCCCAGTGGTGAACAGCTCAAGGATTTTACATACAGACAGTATGCAGCCTCACAAACACAAACAAACACATACAACTTGGTGTGACAAGCTAGAAATGTATTGAGGGTGAATCTAATCAGTGATCCAGTGAAATAAGGTCCCTACTTTAGACATTAACTCTTGTTACTGTCTCCAACTCAGGAAATGTTGTTTCTAACATTCCCAGCACTGCTTAGCTACGAGGAGAGGAGAGGAGTGGAGAGGATGGAGTTAATAGGTGGAGAGGGGGTAAAGACAATAGATACTCCATGCTTGACTTCCTTAGGAAATGGAACTCTGTGATTCAAGCCATTAAGAGTTCAAAGGTGAACCTTTAAATTTCTGTAAACTGACAGAGTGGCAGGAGTGGCAAGTAGAGGTCAACCCTCTGTGTAACTGTGTATTTAATGGATTACAATAGAATGCCAGTGTTTGATTCCTCTCTCTAATTACGACTGAAGACTTTTGACTTTTTTTATAAGCATTGGGTTTGTATTAATTGGGTTTTTATTTGTGGTTACAAGGACTGAACACTTGACTTCTGTGTAAAAATGGATTGAAACAGTGACCACGAGGGTAATTGGCTCTCTGGAGATCTGTTGTTCTAGGTATTGTTAAGAGGCAAACTGTAAAGTTTGAATTTGTATATTTTTCACTACTGATCACGATTTTGTGCAGCATTATTTAGAGTTTGGGGGAAATGAGCTAAACAGTGAGTGTAAAGCTTTTGCGGTTAATTCTGAGCTACAGAACTGTAGAAACAGCTCATGTGTAAAAACACCGAAATAATCTCACACAGAGGGAATGCTCATGCATGAGTTGTTTTGATAAAGTTGAGGTCATTATTATGAAATTCTTGGAATCTATTGTAAAACAGTGTATTATCATTTCCCTCTGATTAACATCTATATACTACAGAACAAAAATATCTCCAGGGCTGCTCATTACAATTTTCCTTTCATACCAGTTTCAGTGTGCTGGTTTTATCCCGTAGAATATGCAATCAGATTATCTCACCTGAACTTCAGAATTTAAGTAGATCATCACCTTAAAGGGCTGAAGTGAAACAGCTCTAGAACATAAAGTATTTGTAAGACTTTGAGTATAAAATTTGCACCAAAGAAGAAAGAACAAAAAAAAAAAAAAAAAAAAAAAGTTGGGAGAGAAGAGAAAATGAGAAGAGAGAGTGAAACACAGATAGGAAAGGCCGTGTGTACAAGATGGGATCTATTCGTTTTTAGCCCTGTTTGCCCCTCCCTTCCCAAAGATGCAGATAACATGAATAATTTTGCGACTTTGTTGGGAAAACTTTCTTCAGTGTGGCAAGGCAGACTGGAGGTGATAAATTATTCAAATGTTTCATTGGAGCCATGCCGCTTGCGTAGGGCAGGCCTCTATAATATGCATGTAAGAAGACATGATGAAACAACTCCATAAACAGTAGAGAGTGAGAGAGTGTTTGGGGAGTGTGGGGTAGGAGGAAAGGGTGATGCAGAGAAAAGTGACTTTGACTCTGTCTTTATGTAGGCATCCATGCGCTAGGCCTCTATAATATATACATCTAAGAACGCTCGATGAAATGGCCTTGTGTGATGTGGGAAGGGGTTGGGAGCAGAAAAGGAGGACAGATTAAGCGAGAGATAAGGACGACAGAGTGAAAAACACTCAGAAACATAGAGTAAAAGAGAAAGATATATGAGAAGGGGAAATATTGAGATTCCTGACATTGTGAATGTTTGTGTGAGAGACAGAGATAAAGAATGGGGATTTAACAGACAAAGAAGAAACACAAACAGACATGTGAAACAATAACTGCAGAGAGGCAGTTCACTTTCTTCTTAAGTACCAAGGGAAGAAGAATATGCATTTCAAAAAGATCATTTTCTGCTGCACGCTGAATCAACAATGTGATGGAATACATGGGAGGAAATCTTTGTATTGTCTGTTGGCCTAAGGTGAACTAAACCTTGATTTAGTTTCTTCTTCTTCCTCATGTTGGACATTTACATTTTTCAATACTGAGGTCAATGCCTTATTTCTTTCAATGCCGTATACTCTGAGGTGAAAATAAAGAAAACTTCTCAAGCATCTTATTTAATCATAAGCATCAATAGTAGAGCTCTGCAGAAATGTCATATTACAGTATTGGCAAAGTTATGACTTTTGATATTTCTGAAAAGCATTGAGGTTTGATCATGCGGCAAGGCTGAAAAATGAAGCCAACACGGAAGTACCAAAAAAACTGCAGTTCTTTGATTGGCTGCTTGAGGCTGGCTCCAAGAGCAAGTCAATCCCCATAGACTGCCATGTTAAAATGCCCAACTTAACAGCAGAAATAAACATGTTTACAGCCTGGTGCAAAAAACAGTTTTGGTCTCTATAGTTAATTTCCCCCTTCATGACAGCTGTATGGGGGTTGAATTTTAAGGCTCGAAGTTCTGCATAATTGAGGGCGTGCCGATTCGAGTGACAGGTGGGTGCATGTATGCTTGCCACAAACCGCTATGCACCAAAGTCCCGGCTCCACAGGCGCCCCACCTCTTGCCGGGAGTTCGGCAGAGTGAAGCAGCCCACTCCGAGCGTCAAATTCCTATGGGTGATGTCATGGAGGCTACGTCCATCTTCATTTACAATCTGTCTTCTGTATATTAGCAATGGATAGGGAATCTGTAAAGTGTGCCAAAGTAACTGTGTTCACAGTCAGATGTGTGGACTCACAATGACCTCTTCTAAACTGTCCAATGAGCCGCCTGTGTTACCCAATTGGACAGACACAACACAGTAATTGGTGCTCTCTATGTTGTACCCCAATTACATGCAGTCCTCAGTGGCCTACCTCTGCCTTCTCTTACTCCATGGCCCATTTCCTGTCTCATTTTATATCTTTAAGAAGTCCATATGAGCTGAAACAAAAGCAGGGCGAGCATTAAGCTACATCAGTAATGAGTGGAAACCCTGAGAATGGCCCCTTTCCTTGGCCTGTTTCCTGAACTGGCTAAGGAAAAGGAAAAAATAAAACACCCGGACTGTAACACAGCATGTTTGACCGCAGTCACTTTACAATATATGCTAAATATGTTTATAGTGAAGCCAAACAGAAAAAACATTCCTTCTTTAAAAGGATTGAAGGGCCAGCTACAACAACAAAACAAAACTTCAATGAATCGACTTGTCACCTCATTTTCCGAAGAATGAGAAAATCATGCAGTTCAGGTAGTTAATTTATTCCTTGTCCGCATTGAGTGAAGGAGCGGAGCGAGGAGGAGAGTACAGGAGCGAGGCAGCATTGATTGTATGTATTTATCTCCCACTGGTCAGCAGTCTGCCTTGTTGCTGTGCACTGGAGGTCATTCTCCACATTGAATCCCCATTGATCTCCTCTTTAGAGCCTCCTGAGACACCCAGAGCACCATTATGAGAGTGATCACACTCTCAAGTGTACACCAATAAACACGTACATGCACACTCATGAATAGAGAAACACAAACTCATACCGTTAAGTACATTATCACATTAGCTCATGGGCATGCACATAATTATGCATGCATAAACACACACACATACGCACATTTTTACACCACTACCGTTCACACACACACACACACACACACACACACACACACACGCGCGCGTGCACACTGGTCGGTAGAAACCAAGTTTAATGCTGGCTGTCTCTATAATTCCTTGTACTGTGCCTCCTAACTGCGTGTAAGAGCATGCGTTAATTCAGACATCATTTAATAAGACACGCAGCCAGACTGCCTTGACCACTCCATAGAAAGGTGCTGAAAGGCAATTACGCTGGGCAAATAGCCCTTCAGGCTCCAGGGGCCTAAGCCCTTCGAACCAGAGAAAGGGAGGAGGGGAAGGTTGAACTCTTAACATCACCCCAGAGTTAAAGGAGAGTCACTCTGGGTTAGACAGATTTCCTCGTCCTCTCATACTGACACCATGACTCAAACTGCAACTTGCATTCGTGACCCTCCTGACCTGAGTTTAACACGAGTCAGAAAACGTACAGCTAAGATAAAAAGGTGTATCTTTAGTCTCATACAGGAGATCTACAAATTATTTATTTATTTTTAAAACAAACTCACCTTTAATATGCATTTTTATTCATATATGACTTTCTCAGTGTAACGTTTTGATTTCTTTCTGTTGGATTTCTGCCACCAACCAAATACAGAGATGACCTGAATTACATCTGTGCCTCAAATAATTTAAAGGCAAAAGTTCGAGTACCTTCTGTTTTCGGCCATTTTGACATGCTATCATTTTATAAAGCTGCTTTGGCAAATCCGTTAGCAAACAGCTGCTTATCTAAACATTCAGTGGACGAATGTAAGTCGGACATTCACTGTCCTTTTAGCTTTGTTTTGGTCTCCACCAACTCCTTAGGGAGATATTTAGCTTCTGCTTGCTAACTTTATCCGTCTTGTGTTTGGTGCTGGGCAGGTGACGCACAGTCACTTTATCAAAGCTTTTTGCTAAAAACAGATGGCTGCTGCTGCTGCTGGTGCTGGGAACAACAAGAGTGAACCAAACCAGCAAAGTTCACGGCAGAGTTGAGTCATAATTCTATGTGGGTTCATCACCACAAGTTCCCCCCTAAACGGTCATACAGACAGAGTTTGTGTTTTAGCAGTAATATTTATGGAACGGCATTTCACTCAAACACAGGTTGAAGTGTTTTCAGATTGTCACCATATTCAGATGTCCCGTATGAAAGCGCTGTTAGTTCCTCCTCTCCGCGTACACTCTGGGCTCCATTCACAAGGAATGAATTATGATCTCTTAAGCAGCCGAGGAAACTAAAGGCGAGGCTGGCAAGTGGTACAGTAAAAGGCAAGAGGCTTTTACAGTATGTAAGACTCAGCATAACATCAGACATTCCTCTAAAGGTAGACATCAAGGTATTCTTTATGATGTCTTTGTGAATTAGTCTTTGCTTGACTAATAAAGTAGAACCATTTCCCCAAATAGCAACTCTGCTGACATCTGTAAATTCAATGACTGCTTTTTCTTTTTTTTCTTTTTTTTTGTCATCTGAAAACATGCAGATACCATGGGTGTGGTGGTGGTGGTGGTGGTGGGAGGGGGACAGTCATAATTGAGAACTGTGACAGCACAGATGGTGCTTTTCTTTTTCTTCCTTTTTAAGTAATTTTGCAGAATTAATTATTGGAGGAAGATTAGTGGCTGTAAGTATCCCTTATGTCAAAACAAAAAAAGCATTTATCATTAAAATGAATATTAAAAACATTACAAATATGCCAAGGTATTTCATTTGACAATTAGAAAAAATTAAATCACAGCTTGTCCAATAAATTGAGCAGTGGAAAGTACTCATGTTTTTCGTCTTATTACACATGGTGCTAAGTCAGAAATCATGTGGAAAAAGACATGGAAATTAGCAGGTGGAGGAGGAAGAGATGGAACCTACCATTGTTGCCAAAGTCCAGCGAGTACTTGACCACATGGTAGTTATTCCACACGTACAGCAGGTTGTCTCTCGGGTTGTAATCCACTGCAGCAATGTACTGGTAGGAATTGGGAAACGGTATGTTAACCGTCATCTCCTTGCTCTTATCAGTGTTGTACATGTAGTCAATTTTGTTCCCCGTCCCTTCATTGTCGTCATCTTCATAGACGGTTTTGACGACGTACAGGACTCCGCAGATCATGAAGGCATTGGAGGCAGAGCGTTTGTCGTAGCTGGTGTCCCAGGAGCCTTCAATGCGCAGGGTGTAGGGGTTGAGCTGGCTCACCACGATGCGCCCGTTGTTCTGCTCTGTTGCATAGATCACCCAAAGTCCATTCTCGTCCACCGCCAGGTCGATGTCCGACTTGCCCCCCCAGCGGTACGGTGAGGTGTCGTGGTAGTTGGCATTGGCGATAATGGCCTCGCCGCTCTTGATGCGTGTGCGTAGGTCAAACTTTACAATGTTACGCGTGCGCTCCTTGTTGAAGAAGAGTGCGCCGTCATACACCACAAAGCCAGTCCCATCCACACGATGTGGGAGTTTGTAGGTGGTGGTGGGACGGCCTGCGATGAAGTCCTCCTTTGATGAGTACTCTGTCAGGGTGTCTGTGCGGTATGGCGTCCAGGGCATGTAGTAGATCTTGTCTGAGGCCTGCAGGGGATCTTTGCACCAAGCACCAGACTGGTGATCAGACTCAAAAAGATGTTCACTTTGGTACACTCCTCGCAGAATGCCAGGGCACAGAAATACTGAGGAACAAATAACAACAGTTTCACATTAAATAAGCTTTTGTGCAGTTGCTGTAAAATGTCAACTATTCTCTCAAGATTTCCTGACAGTGCGTGTGATGTTTGCCTCTTTTCATAAATGTTACACTGTGTTTTAACTTAACCTTAACCACCAGTGAGTGACGATGACATGCTAGGCTTACTGTGTTGTGATTCGGATGTTGTATAGTCCCTGTCATTCTTAAGCGCAACAACAGCATACCTCCCATTCAACAGATAATACCCTGCTCTCACAGCTGAGAGAAAATGGCACATTTTGTTCTACTTCCCCCCCCTTTCCCTCTATTCCCATTTCGCCCTCCCTCCCCGACTCCTCATTAGTCTCATAGCTCTTTCTTCCCTTCTCTCCCTTCTATTTCTGTCAGGAACAACCAACTGTAGTGTGCTTTTATCGCCTGCTGTTTCTCCAATTGTTACAATATTTCATTTCCCACTCCGTGCTCGGTTTTCCCAGCTTGGAATACTGGGGTCACGTTTTATGAGTGATGTGGGAGATGCAGTAAATTCTGGGAAACCAGTGCGACCTGAGTCATAGGGACCTTTGTAATTTAACTGGAATGTTGTCACACTCACACACACACACACACACACACACACACACACACACACACCAGATACACAGCCGGGCCAGATGTGCATTGTGGTTTTCCCATTCTTCTCAGTAATATAATTCCAGATCCCACGCGAAGGCCTGGGAATATTGATTGAATTTTCATTGGCTAGTTAAAGCACTGGCATAATTTTCATATCATGGGGAAGCATTTGAAATATTAAATGTCAATGTAATTCTCTGTTCATCGACTCATCATAAAAATGTGCTCAACCCGTGGAGAGTTTGTTAAGTGACATTCTACGCGATACCATGGAATAATATGGGCCTAGAGTGTGTCTAATGAAAACCAGTGTTTCTAAATTGCCTCTATATGCTGAGATCAAGCTGTCTTAATATAGCTGCAGTGACTTTGAAAGCGATGTCATTCTGCCATGAGGTACAAAAGCCTTCAGGCGCTGGCATCAAAAAGTGACATCCAACCCCGAGTTTTGAGCATGTGTGCATGTGTGAATGTGGGTCTGCTTGTTTCAGACTTACCTTTTTGTTCTACTTCTGCATGAGCCATAGGCAAAATATCACAGAAAAAAAAGAGAGAGAGAGAGAGAGAGAGAGAGAAAGAAAGAAAGAGACAGAGACAAGAGACAAAAATAGATTAATGATGCAATAATAAGGAAATCATGATAATACAATCTCGGATCTCCATAATCGTTCTCATATTTCATCCTAACCTTGTGAGAGTGCCAGGATGCTCTCCATGTGTGATTGGTAATAACATTACGTAAGCGTCTGAGGAGACTGCACTGCAATGGGGAAGCTATCTGACAGTAATGCATCTCACATATGTCACACACACGCACGCACACATATGGGGGAACAGACACAAATGTGCCATGCAGACACAGACAGAGGGAGGCAGAGCGATACTGAGATCAAACACACAAGACCGTGACACACGACATTGCAAAAACACACACACATATTCACAGTGTCCTCGGTGGTCCTATGCATAGGACAGAACACAGCAATAGAAAATGACCTGAGATAATGAGCTCTTTAATGTATGCTAATAGCAACAGAGCAATGAAAACCAGAAAATTGATTTGATTACTGGGATTGCATTTCAGTGGACCAGCCAAAACTACCACATTAAAATGCTTTCTGATGCACAGTGGGTGAGCTAATGCTTTGTGGATGTCACCTACTCCATGTGACTTTGTGTGTGCAAGCATCTGCATGCGGAGGAGGAAGCATATTGAATGCACTGGTTTTGCTTTAACCCCAACACCAATTCTCTGTCTATTATATTCAAAGCGTTATCCTTGGAGTTTCAGCGGAGGGCTGTTCGTGTCACCCTGCAATGAAATGTGCACACTTGCTCGGAGCCTCTTAAACACATGAATTCCATTCCACCTTGCTCCCCAGGGGACTGAGTGGAATGTGAACATGGCAGAAACCTAATCCTGCAGGCAGTGCCCTTGTGTCTCAAGTCCCGTTAGAGACGTACTGAATGGAACTCGTCCCCCGAGAGAAGAAACGAGGAGAGGAGAGGAGAGGAGAGGAGAGGAGAGGAGAGGAGAGGAGTCCTCAAAAGAAAAACATTTGGACTTCAGAATGGCACGTGTTTACATCTATATATATAGCACAAATGCACTACATAATGCACAGTACATGCATAAATTCTTTAACACATTAAAGCTGAAGCTCATCACCAACCACAAGAAGTACACAAACACATGTGACACACAGAAACACGTGGACACACACACACCCACACACACACACACACACACACACACACACACACACACACACACAAGCAACCATTAAATCCTAGGCTCATGAAAAATGCATGGTAACTGGTGCGGCTTAGCACAACTCCCGATAAATAAGCAATCTCTGGAAGGAGATCGTGTTAAACCTAAAACAAGTGTGGATATGTGTGTGTGTGCACGTGTGTGTGTGTGTGTGTGTGTGTGTGTGTGTGTGTGTGTGTGTGCATGCACGTGTGAGAGGGCTGCTATGAGTTAAGATATAAAATGGTTCACCACAAGGAAGCAGTTCCCTTGTGAGAAAAGCTTGGAAAGAAAGCAGATAGTGTGACTGAACAGAGGTGTGTGTGTGTGTATGTCTTTGTGCATGTGTGTGTGTGTGTGTGTGTGTGATGGAACGACAGATATCGGTGTACCAAACGCACACACATGCGCGCACATATAAACAATACAAAGCGACACATTGTGGTTGAGAAGACAGGGATTAATGACACCGAACAACAAGGACTGCACATCACCTGAGGCTCTTCTACAACCTCCCAGACACATAAGAGAAACATGCAGGATTCAAGGTTGCCAACAAGTAATAGATTTTAAATGAAAAAGTGTGGAGGCAACAAGTATACCAAATGGCACACTAAATGTCAAACAAATGTCATTCAATTTGTATTGCTGCTCGTTGTTTCACTAGATTATCGGATGCCTCTGTTGGTAAGCTCATTGCTGGATCTTTTTTTTTTTTTTTTTGTGTGAGGCATCTGTTTTTAATCGCCATGACAAGGGTAAGAAATGAAAGTTTCTCCCAAATCACAGTCATTCATCTTTCAGTGCACAGGACTAGACAGGGTGAATATAGGTTGGTGAGACATTTGTTGAAACCTGCAGCTTTTGTCAAGGTGAGCTCAAGCATGCACAATGGCGCAAGAGATGAGAAGTCTTTTGTATTAATTCAGACACTGCAAGTGGCTATAAGATGAGGAGAAAGAATATGGTCGATGACAACTTGCCGGAAAATGTTCTTGTTTCCACAAAGACGTCAACAAGAAAGCATCTTCTCTCAATCTTTCTCGATTAATTGAATTCTGCAGAGGTGCGGCATGTTTTTATCTATCCAGTATCTTTGACTGATCATTTCCAAAACCACTTAGACTGCCCTACTGAATAGTTGGCTCTGCAGCTGCAGAAGAAAAAAATTATTTTTGCCCAATTATTCTAAGGAAGGCTTTGAATGAATATTAGAAAACAATAGCAGAACAATAACACTAACAGCAATACCCTGTTGTGAGAATGTGTCGCCTGTCTAGTTTCACATTCATTAAAAATCATATAAATATTCATTAATATCTGCGTATCTTCTCAATTTTTGAAAATTTCTGGAATCAGATGAACAGCTCTGACACTGTACCCCAGATGCCTTCTCTGTCTTTTTCCCTCTTTCTTTCCATTTCTATCTCACACACACACACTCTCTCACACACACACACACACACACACACACACACACACAGACTTACAGAAGCAGTGTTAATCTGACTCTGCTGCGGTGTAAAGATAATTAGCATTTTTATTGAAAACGTATGGTTTATTAAGGAGGTATTCGTCGAGGAGGAAAGGCAGTGTGTATGCTCATGAGCGTGTGTAATGGGTGTGTATGAGTGGAGCGCAGGCACAATATATCGTGCGTGTCTCTGCAGACAACGAGTGGCGACAGCAGCCTTACCACTATTATCTCTGATCTCCAATCAGCTCAGCCGGGCTAAAGCCCAAGGTCATTTATGGACACAGACATTTTCATCTTTCTCTCTCCATTATTTTCTCTTTTCTTTCCGTCCTCTCATCCTCACCTGCCATTCTCTTTCGTCATTTCATGCTGTGCCTTTCTCCTCGTTCATTCTCTCTGTTACATCCTCTGTATTTCTACCACTGTCTTTTATCAGTTAATTCATTCTTTCTGTTCCTCGTCTGCTGGCCTCGTCTAACCTATTTCTCTCTATCTCTGTTTCAGCTGTCGCTCTCGCTCTCTCGCTCCCTCACTCTTTCTCCCTCCTTCTGTCTTTCTGGTTCCTTTCCATATTCTCTCGCTCTCTCTGGGAAACACACAAAACGCCTGCATATGTGTGTACACACACACACACACACACACACACACACACACACACACACACACACACATACATATACTGTACAAGCACATATGGAGAGACACACAGCAAAACACACAGACACACACACACACACAAACACAGGGACAAAATCCTGGCTGTGAGTGATTGTTTCCACGACAACCTGCAAGCGCGCACATGCACACACACACACACACATACACACACACACACACACGCACGCACACACACACACACACAGTCACACACAAACAGATCTTCTCATGTCATCATGATGAAGTTATTCCAAGGGTCCAATCTGACAGAAGTCTTTAATTGGACAGACAAGAAGGTGATTTTATCTTTTAATTAGCTTTCCTACAGAGCCAAGTTCTATTGTCCAAAATAGACTGCGTGGGTATTGCATAACATATCACTGGCTTTTCTGATTAATACACTAAATGTGGTAATAGGCTAATTGCTTCATAACAGCACTTGCCGAGCCAAGGTCTACTGCATGAAGATGAGGAGATGGATAGACATAGTCCCAAGTGTTCCTGCCTTTTTTTTTTTTTTAATGAATGAACATGAATGAAACAATACTTATCATCATATATCTTTCTTCTGTAGCATATAGCATATTAGTAGAGATTAAATGTATTCTGTGCGAGAGCTGCCTCAGAGAAACACTCTGTGCGGCAGCGTGCTAATGTATGGATATTTATAGTCTGCCTGCAGTGCGATGAGCAAGTATACACAGGTGGCTAATTACTGCCAAAGCTAGCTGGCTAGTTTGGCACACGACTGCCACACACTCATACCACAGAGAGCTGGAGAGAGAAAGCGAGAGAGCACTTGATTTTAGCATTGGAAAAGAGCCAAAAAACCTGCAGTGCAGAGAGGAGAGATGAAGAGTTGCGAAGGTAGTGCAAGCCAAAATCCTCAAGAAAAAAAAAAACAAAAGTAGGGACAAAATCTCCCTGAAAACTGAACGGTACATAATTAAATTACCTGCTCTACAACCCACTTTGAGATTTGTTTACAATATCTATGCAGTGGGAAACATACCGGCTCCACCTGAACGTCAGTGAAAAGCACGTCTACAGTATGAAGTGGGGTCTCTTCGGAGCTCAGCTCATTTTCTCTATGCGCAATAAGTTTGTGATTAGCAACCCCCCGGCCTCAGAGGTGATCGCTAGGGGTCAGGTGTTTACGCTCAACAGCCAGCACTACCAGCGTGCTTAATGTCGCGGGAGACCTGTTTGAGTTATGGATGTCCCTTGATGTTACAGTCATTTGAGTGCACTAAAGCCAACACACCCTTCCAATGTAAATATGATGATTTGTTAGTTGTTGCTGCTCGCGAGTAATTTAGGAATGTCACAGTGTCATATATTTCAGAGTACAGGCCTTCTTTTATCGATCCGTCTTGATTTATGGCAACATTTTGAGAGATATCTCACCTCTTAATGTCTTACAAAAATGTATCTTTCACAACAACGTGGCTGACAGCATTGATTTGCTATGTCAAGCACGTCCGCTTGATCGTACACGGCTGGATCTCCGGCCTGAATGTCAGCGAACAGGAGTATCTTGTTGTAAGGTTCAGACATTATTACGCCTTTCAAAGAGAATTGATTTCATAAATATTTGAAAGGTGTGATATGAGGGTTCTATGAAGGGTCGAGCCACGCAAAAAGCTTGACGTATGCGCAAACAAAACAATGTAAAATGCGGAGTCAGGGCATCCATGGACTTGTTTCACCTTTATACAACATGTTTTTCTCTGCAACGTTGTGCAACATTTCTCAAGGCTAAACACACCCACAGGAGCCAGGTAGTGTATCAGAGCGCTACCTGATCCAGCCCGAACACTTAGTCAGTACACGGAAACTGCTAATGTACTGTCAAAGCCTCTCTCTCTCTCTCTTTCTCTCTCTCGCGCCATCTTTTCCTCCAGTGCTTCATATCTCTCACTCTCTTTACGCCCCCCCGCCCCTCTGTTAGCTGAGCTCTTTGGTTTCAGATGTTGTCTATTTTTGCGGGACGAAACGTTACCCTGACGGACCCATTGTTTATCAGATATCCACACAAACTCATCTCAAAGCTGCTGTTTGTTCTTTACAGTGATGAACCTTTGAAATAAGTGGTGCTGCACTTTCACACAGTCGTGCAGGTTCGCCGAAGATAAAGACAGCACATGCAGACAAGCTTCAAATGAATGGATGAGATGAGAAGAAGTGAAAACACACACAGGACAAACACTCCGTTTTGATGCCTCTGTGAGTGTGTGTGGAGTGTGCATGCACGTGCTTGGTGGGACATTAAGCAGGTATCAGGTTGTGTTTCCATCTGCTCCAGAGAGGGCTCTGATAGTCCTATTATTTAATCTGCTGGTCATTCTAGACGCCAGGCAAGAGCCGTTTAGCCAGACATAATTGAATGCTTCAGTGAGGGAGATCACCTTGGCCGTCTGTATGGACCACGGTGCCAAGACTGTACACTCAGACAGTGTTAGACAAAAGAATCAAAATGTGTGTCAGTGATTTATGCAGTACTTTAGGAGGAAATATGCATAAAACCTAAAGTTCAAAATATTTGAACTTTTTGAAAAAAGTTGAATTTTCTAACTCAAAAGTTAATAAAAAACATGAAACGAATTCTGCTGCTGACAACAACTCAAAACAAGGTTGTTTCACTTGCATTCACATGCATGCATTCAAAACAAGCAAAGCTCAGACTAAGTTTATTTCTATTTTCTATAACTATTTTGGGCAAAAGTAAGACTTGCAGACAAGATTAAATGTTTCTTTACCGTAAATAAATCCTAACTATACCTCAACTCCAACTGTTCATGTCACCCTGTCTTCTATGACTTATACGTTCCACCACAGAGAGGTTTACAGTGAACAAAACATGTACAGTAAAACATGCAGTACTGCAAGTGTACAACAACGGACAGATTTTCATTTCACAACACATGCACTACTTCTTGAATCAACGTTTATGTGAGCTTTACAAACCTGTGTCAAGGTCATGTGATATGGAGTAGTAGGACATATTCAGTATAGTATTCAACTTTGTACTTATAACAGAATCATTTATTTCCATCTGAAAATTGTACTCACTTCAGTGCCTGTACTCTTTATGTATTGAGTAATGTGTCCTCTTTCATTGCATTTTGTATGTAATACAATTTTGGCATATAGCATTATTATTATTTTTTATTTTAATTTTTTTTATCACAATTGAGTTTTCACCTGCTTGGTTGCCTAACGGTGAGGTTTTCCAGCCCGACACGAATGATAACATAATTGCCGTGTGAACAAATTTGTTTTCAATGCCTCTTGTGATGGTAAAGTAACTCATAAGAGGAGGCACGAGGAGAATCACTTGAGATTCAGCAATTTCATAAAACAGAATTGCATTTTTGCTTTGCCTTCGGACAAACCCTCTAGGCTAAAATGTAGTGTGAAATAAACATGAAGGACAAATAAATGTCTTTAAACCACATCTCCAACTGTTTTTATAATGCAGTGAGCTATAACCCAGATTTTTTTTTGGGGGGGGGGGCTATACTAGTGAAAAAAAAAAAAAAAGAAGAGGTTTCACAGTTTTTGGGATATTTTACAACCATGTCCCATGAATGTTTCACTTCAGTGAATACGACCTCCCAGTCTGTTATCACATGGTCAAAGGTCATATCACCATCTGTCATCATTTGAGCCCGTCCTTCTCTCTCGTGCATCCTCCCCCAGACTTTCCCAGAGAGCTGTGTCATCACAGCTTCCCTTATGAACTCACCCTGGCACCCAAACAACTGATGTTCCTTTTTGATTAAAACTGCATGTTGCAGCTCACACATCATTATGAGAAACTGCAAGCTTTTCACAATCTAAGTTTAGAAAACAAATATGTATCAAGAGCTTAGATTTGGATCATTTTAAAGAAATTCATATTTGACTGATAATAACGTGTAATGTATGTAATAGTGTGTGTATAATAGTATTGCCGTTATAGAGATAAGAATGTTGTTGTAAAAAAAATGTTGAAATAATAAAAAAGTAGAGTTACTTACTGTAAGGAACACACTCATACTGGACTTCAAGGTATTTGTATGTGCCAGGGCAGGGGTCAGGGAAGACGTCAGGCCCGGCCACCACTGCACACTGGGTACGATTGTTGCATCTGCATGGGGTTAGATGGGTGAAGAAGCACATATATTAGTTGAACACGTCCATCCTGTTACATAGATGTGTAACATCCACTCATATAATTCACTGCATTCACCCCAGCACTCAAGAGTCATCTGTGTTTAAGGACCCTTTAGAGAGAGCAGACAATATGTCCTTACTGGTACACCTGGAGTGAACATTATACTAATAGAATCATTGAGTTCAGCTGTACACAAGGTGATCCACAGTGGCTACTGAAGAGCTGTTGCACAAGGACACTTCTGATGTTTATGTGTGTGTGTGAGTGTGTGTGTGTGTGTGTGTGTGTGTGTGTGTGTGTGTGTGTGTGTGTGAGTGTGCGTGTGTGTGTGTGTGTGTGTGTGTGCGTGTGTGTGTGTGTGTGCGTGAGTGTGCGTGTGTGTGTGTGTGTGTGGACGTGCGTGTGTGTGTGTGCGTGTGTGTGTGTGCAGTGAGAACAACAACCTATGGCTTTAAGAGTATTTTGGCCCAGACTCCACATAATTAATTCTAATTATCACAGGGGCCTTCTCCTCTGACACACAAAAAGTAAGTATTTCTCACTCTTATTAACACAGGTAACGTGAGGCACCACTGCGTGTGTGTATAGGCGCTCTGTGCCTCTGAGGGTTTGTGTTTGCATGCATGTATGTGTGCAGTTATAAAAATGCATGCGTGACATTTATGTGGAAGTGTCTGTAATTAAACACACCAAGACGGCGCCTCGCAACCAAAGATGATTTGTTGGCAGGACAGTTGGAATCCCATATATTATCATGATAGATGCATGTAATAACATAAAATGCTACCCCACCCTGAAGTGCCACTTTATCTCAATGGCGTTCCCAGGTTTAAATAAATTACTGAAATAACCTGAATGAAGAATATATTATGTGCGAGAACAGGGACAAAGGACACATGAGGAGAAAAGGCTTATTTTAAGAAGGCTGATGAGCCACTTCTCCGCTCATCTGAATATTTCCTTTCAATTAGTACAACTGTTCTGTCTCTCCCTCCTTCCCTCTCTGCGCACCTGTCAAACAGGCGACATTTATATTAAAAACATTCTGATTCTTCCATTGAGATATTTTTAATGGGCATGCCAAACCCCTCAAGTCTCTTTTCTTTCAGTATCACATTCAACAATTTGCATAATGAAATATGCATGAGAGCTAATTTAATTTTTATTCAATATTCAGATATAACACACAGACATAATGTATGCTACAGAGAACTACCTACTGTGACATATAGCGGTGTCTATTGTTGACCAGTGTGCCTGTGGTCAAGTGAGGGGTAACTGGAGTTTAAAAGGTTTAAAACTGTATGTGTTGTGATGTCTGTCATATTCTAATAACAATACCCGCCAGTCTTCTCTCCTCTCTCGCACCCCCCCCCCCCCCCCTCTTTTTTCTCGCCTCTGTGCGTTTTAATTTCTTGCCCCGGTGCCTTCATCATCGGTCACCTGTCATCAGTGCAAGTTGTGGACTGGTGGGTGGGTGGGGTGGGGACACAAAACTGACAGGGCGCCACAACTTTGCTCACAACACCCACCGACGGACACGACTGGCTGGCCCACAGTGGTGAATCAGGACGCGAAGCCCCGTTTAATGGTGGTGCAAAAAAGCTTCCACTAGTTATGATGACATCACGCTGGCAGATGAAGACAAGCGTTTAGAGCGACCTGTTTCACTTATGAATTTTGGACCCAGAAGAAGTGCTGCCACAGGTGCAAGTGTAGGATTAATTATTTCCACACACACAAACTTTAAGGAGAAGAAACCTGAACTCTGGTAACACTGAGAAACTCCAGGGGCTTTGTGAAGAAAAAATAAAGTCTCGTTCCTAAGGCAGAAGGGAAAAAAAATCCACCTGTCCCAAAAAAAAAAAAAAAAAAAAAAAAAAAAAGATGCTTGTGATTTGGGCAGTGAAACCAAATGACATCTAAAAGTCATTGTATAAAGTCAACAAAACGCATAAATAACTGAAAAACAATACATAAAAAAAAAAAAAAAAAAAACTCGATGCAGGGAACAGGCAGTGTAGAAAAAAAATATGCAGATGTCTTTGAAGAGAGCAAAAAGGGAGAAAGTTTAGGTCTTGCACAAGCTGTGTGTGTGTGTGTGTGTGTGTGTGTGTGTGTGTGTGTGTGTGTGTGTGTGTGTGTGGGTGTGTGTGTGTGTGTGTGTGTGTGTGTTTTTATTTGTTTTTGTATTTGTGCGAGTACTGCTGCACAAGGCTGCAAAANGTGTGTGTGTGTGTGTGTGTGTGTGTGTGTGTGTGTTTATTTCTGCTTTATGATACTGCAAAAAAAGGCTTCATTCTCGGGTCTTTCACGGCTGAGTCATAAAACACTGAAGGTTATTGACTGGTATTTTAAATAGAGGGTATAGAGCAAAGATTTGACATAATCCCTTGCGCACTCTATCTCTCCGCTATCACTCCTTCTTTCTCTGTCTATTTTTGCCCGCGCTACCTTTCTTTTTCCTCTCCCCATACTCTCTAAGCCAAGATAATAAACCAATTTCTTTCTCAGCCTTTGTCTTCATCCTTCCAACCAAGGAATTATTCCTCTCTGTTCCTCTTTCTTTGTCTCTCATTCCCACTGTCTGTTTTTTTTCAGTCTGTTTATCTATCTTAAACCCACTTAGCTGCAGTTTTCGAAGTCACACCCAGATATATGTGGTAGGCCTCTTATTGCTGCCTTCTTTTTCCCTCTGCCTGTCTTCTCTCCCTCCTTAATATCTTTCTCATCCCTGCCTCCCTCAGGGCGTCATCTCTAGCCTCCCTCTGTTTCTCCCTCAATCCCTCCATCCTTAGTAAAGCCTGTGCTGACGTCACTGTTCTGTCTGAGCCAGTAGTCTGAGTCAGATCCAAAAAAGACTCCCTTATGTCCCCCAGTACCTCCAGCTTCTTCTCTTTTTATTTATTTTTTTTGTTACCCTCGTTCCTTCACTGCCAATGTGTTTATCCAGAAGCCTGACAAAAACATTAAAAACCTCAGCAGAAATTCCCAATTCACATCCTCTCTGCATCCTGACCCATGACGAATGTAGATGCAGAACATGCACATGCAACCCTTACACACACACACTCACACACACCCATTTACAACCTATAGCTTGTATCCCACACTTTCAAATACCAAAATGGCTCTATAGTTTTCTTGCATGTTTTTCTTGGTGTTGGCAGAAAAGCTCCTTTTTTTTAATTAGCATGGCCACATCAAAACAAGGCAGTGGCCTGGATACCGCCTTGCCTGCTGGCTTTCTTCCCTGCAATGTGCAACACGCACACACACACACACACACACACAAACACACGCACACAAACACACAAAAAAACTATTCACTAACAAAGCTGAGCTGTAGCAGGCAGGGAAAGAGAAAGCTGCGATGCTGCAGTGGGTGCTGTTGTTGTTATTGTCTCTGATGTTTTTCACTTTGTTTGGCAGACCTCCCTTCACTCCGTCTCTGTCTCTATCTCTCATATAAACATAACTGACTGACTGATGATTTGATGAGGCTGACGCTGGCTGATGGAGTGTGTGTGTGTGTGTGTGTGTGTGTGTGTGTGTGTGTGTGTGTGTGTGTGTGTGCATATGTGCTGGCGCATTCATGCACGTGTCTGTGATGCACATGTAAAATGGAATAAATATTTGTAAGTATGTGTTGTGCGCGATTGTGTGTGTGTGTGTGTGTGTGTGTGTGTGTGTGTGTGTGTGTGTGTGTGCTTGAGTGCAGATGTGTTGAAGAACTATATAATTACAGAGCAAGTGAGAGCTGGGAACTAATCCTCACGAGTTGAAAGAGGTGTCTGAGAGTGAGTGACGCACAAAGCCTCGGCACAGACCTCTGGAATCAACATTCGAATGCAGTCGTACCATTCCACAATGCTGCATGTGTCAGCCACAACATTGTGTGAACATGCTTAACACATACAAACTTTCTGGGATGGCGTCAAATCCCGTAAACACACAAACAAGAACATACACATGCAGTAGACTGTGCTGCCGGAAACTTCTATAAACACACAAAGCAGAGCAGAACTGGAACATTTGGGGTTTGTGGTTCAACATGTTGCTCGGGGACAGGAGGCCTGTGGACAAGACTGAACCGCTCATTCCACAAATACCGACCAACATGCCCTTCCATCCAAGCTATAACCAATATAATGTTCATTATTAAGCTGCACGGGCATACAAAGTTTGATAATGTTTCCTCGCGTCACGTGATGACACCAGAACCAATCTAATGACAACTGAGGAAATTTCATTTGTTGATAGAGACCATGAGATATGTTTGAAAGCGCTAAAAAAAAAACAACTAGTATGTAGACCATGTGTTACAAATGGTTTTTTTTAAATAACTCAAATCAAGGTTTGCCTCAGATCTTATTTCTAAGAGATTTAGCATTTATCTTCATAAGTAATTCAGTAAACACAACATTATTTGAAGACACAATGTTAACTCAGTGCAATCTTTCTTTCAGTATTACTTAGATCTGTCTTTCCAAAAAACGCAGCCTGTCCCTGGGATTAACTTTCCAGAGACAAATCTGCATCCACATGCTATTAGAAACTAACAACATCACGATTTTAACAAATCCAATTCTATTAACAAAAAAGATTTACTATTACTAACACATCTACTGCTCCTATGAAAAATTTTAACTGGGGGTATTTACGTCATTGTAACTTGGTTTCTCTAAAGCTCTCTTCTTAAGCCGTTTTTCCAATTTTATAGTTGTAATCTCTGTTCTCTAAAAATTTCTACTCTGTCCTGCTGTACTGGACTCACTCGACTCATTCGAGTTTCACCCGTGAATGCCTAGAGATTATGGGAAATCGAGTTCATTAAAAGGCAACTAAAATACACAAATATTAAATTAACAACATGAGACTGTTTTTTTTGTTGTTTTTTTTTAAGTACTTAGTCGCATGAAGCAAGCCACAGGACATACAGTTCAAAAAGGCTTTGCTGTCATGGATATCAC